TCCTGCTAGTATGAGAAAAAATACAGCAACATTCTTATAAATTATAATAAGATTCAAGGCCCAAGCAACCATATGACATATACAAAAGTCTCCAAACCATAATTATATACTTACCTTTTTGTTGGAAGCACCTGACCGTTTGGTGCCCGAGCTCGGCCGTTGTGAGCTTTTGGTTTCTTGTGTTTTGCAGCCACCAGACTTTTCAACTTCTTGTACCATCCCCTGCAACTCGGCAAGGGTGTAACGATATACAAGACGCAACTTTGTAGGTTCACATTCACAAAGGTGCTTCCAGTGCTGTATTCAAGATTATAAACAGCGTAAGTAAACAGAAAAAATCAAGAAACAAGACTCAGATATGAATATTTACCTCCAAGCATGCAAAAACAGATGGCCTGCAATTGCAGACGATAGCAGAAAGATGAAGAAACTGCTGGCAGATGATGCATGTTGGATCCTACAAATACAGTCCACACATGAGAGCATTATCTTATGCAAGCTAGCATGATAGAGTGCGGAAACTCAACATCGAAACCAACAAAATCTGACTGATTGCAGAAAGAAAAAACCTCTTCGATGCCCACAGAATCAGGGCACTCAGGCAGAAACTTAGGAGAAGATCTCAAAATACCACTTTTCCAAAGCTGCTCTCTCCAGTTTTTTTCCTTGCTGTATATTCTGAGCAACTCTTTCTTCAAATGTATTGACCCTTCGCTATTGTAGCAGTTTCCCTATGAGAAGAAGACAAATATAAACACGCGAAAATTCCAGCTTGAAGCAATTAATGCTTTACTCATATTTTTCTTTCTCTACCTTAGCTACCACACAGAGAAGCTCTTCATGAGATATGACTGCCGGTTTCCGGTACAGCCGATACAGCTCCGCCCCGGAACCACCATGAGGTAGCCAATCAGCAGTAGCAAAGTTGACGGCCTCTGCACAGTTTAAACCTGGAAGGACAACAATGCCATTGGTAACCAAACTCCCTAATGCAATTGACTTGAATACTTTCACACGCAACCGGTCATGTGACTACTAAAATGTTAATTAGAGATGGCGTACCGAAATTGAATCCAGCATGAAAGGATTTTGGAAATGTGATCACGAAGTTTCCAGGCTCCTAGCAGTAAGCAAAAGTAGAGGGATATTATGTTGAAAACTAAAAAAAAACTCTGTGATTTTAGAAATGCTAACAATCAAATGAAATTATCACTGAACTATATAACTTGTATATCAAACCTGTAATACTGTGTAGACCGGGACTTTGTTTTCTTGTAGAACAGTCGGACTCAACATGGTAACAAGTTGAAATAGCAAATCTGGCTGAGCATCAAAGAGATCGGGAAGGGTTTTTCGCATAACCTACAAGTAAAATCAAGCAGCGCAAGCACCTTAACTTTTGTTTCAGAAAGTAAGTAAATATTCAAGTATGCCAATTTTAAGAGCAAAGATTTAAACCCTTTGGAGAAAAAGAAAAAAAACCTTTTCAAAAGCACTAGCAGCACTGCCTGGAACACCATACCAACATTTTGCTTCTCCCCTGAGGTGTGAATCAAAATGAAATTGGTAACAGAATCTTTCAAGATAAAAAGACGCAACTAAGAGACTCAATACGAATGAAATGTTTCTTTATGAGTAAGACCATGACAAAATAAGGTATAGAGAAAGGCACATTTGTGACTTCCAAGAAATTAAAAATAACACAATACTCTATATGATTCAAAAGCATGAAGAACTACAGTAGAATGAAACAGAGTGACAGTTACAGTACAGGTACATACCAGTGTAGATAGTTGACAGAGTAAAAACAATGGTCCTCAAAATGCCAACAAAAAGAAGAGAAGAGCATCCCAAGATATAGCCAAGGCACCGTAACGCCATTAATGCTATGCTGAATGGCCTGAAGCATAGATCCTTTCAACTTAGGCATGTTATTGAGATTCCAGGGGCTACCACAATACTCATCCCATGTCTTTGCCTCAACTGATTCTGGTCTTTTGTCGCCTTCTCGAGGGAAACCACTCCCATAAACAGAAGTATCCAAGTCATTACCATACATAACTTCAACCTCGCCACCTGAACCTTCTACTATTTCCCAGAACTTCTTCTCTATCTGCGTCCTAGACACTGACCCCGAACCAAACCACTTCCTCTTGGCACGATCAGCGATTCGCTTGAAATCCTCAAGCAACAAGCATTTACCAGGCACAAACCCGAAAGTTTCTTCATCAGTGTTTAAGCACTCAAGGCAATACCAGTTCCCTGGTGGGATATGCTTCAACGGTGGAGAGAGACAGTATATATGCCAACCTTTGTTACAACTATCACACAGAAGCATCACTTCGCCGTGTTTGTCACTTTTACATTGCTCACAGGCTTGATCAATCCCTTCCTCACTCTCCACTTTTGCATTTTTCACATCAGCATTTCGTTTCCTTCTCTTTGAGCTCGGAAATTCAGAACATCGTCGGTTCCTTTTGCAACCCTTTGCAGGATCTGCATTCATACGATTGTGATAGTTCTCGAACTCCTGCAAATGCTCTTTGTAAAGCTGACACAAGACATGCTTAGCGCATTTCGAAATCTTCTCACCAGAGCTCATGAACTGATAAACTTCTCCCCATTTCTTCCCCTTTACAACCTTGCCGTAACCTCCAAACCTCTTCACGGCGTTGAACAGCTTACACAAATCAAGCTCGTCTCCTTCAAAGACCACTTTCTTCTTCAGCTTCTTACCTAAATGCTCCTCCAAAAACCTGTTGTACTCCAGCTGAAACGTCTTTGAGTTACACGAGGCGGGACGGAACTGCAACCGGTGAATCTCCTGTGTCTTTGTCGGAAACTTGACAGATTCCAAATCCAAACCGAAAGGCGGTTTCCAGCTATTGGGAGGAACAATCTTGCAAATCCCATAAACCTCTGCCTCTGGCTTGATCTTGTGTATATACTCTAATGGATCTTTGAATTCATCTTCGGTCGGATAATAAACCGGACCAGAAGGCACATTAAGCGATCCTCTAAGTTTCTGATCTAAAACCCTTTTCTCCACTGCCTTAACTCTACCTTTTCCCATTACCAAACACATCCACTAAAACTCACAATCATAACCTACGAATACGAACAAGAATTTTTATTTTAAAGCCAATTGATTAAAAACCCTAGGAGAACAATTTCGAGAACAGTGAGGCTAAATCCAATTCTAGGGTTTTAGCAATTTACCTTGGAATTCTGAGGAGAGAAACAGAGCTCGTGAAACTGAGTAGAGGAGACGAAGTGCAAGAAATTATTATTCTTTCTGACGAATTTGGTTTTGTGAAAGATTTGGAGAAAAAAAAGGAATTTTAATAAAAATCGGTTCTTTATAAAGCTCACTTACTGAATTTCCAAAATTGGGTTTGGGTAGTAACGGAAATTACGTAACGGAGAGAAGGAAGCGAACTGTTCTCAGTTTGTGTTTATGTGAATAGAACTTCGTGCCGGGTTTTTATGAAAACGAACTGCTTGCCGTTTACACTGACAGAAGAGGTACTACGTGTAGTTTCGTTTTAGCCGCTATAATGGATTCTTGGCCTTAAAAATGTTCAATGCTTTTATTATAAGGCCCATAATAGACCTGCCCAAAAACTCAACTCAAACAATTAAATTAAGCTAAATTAGTTTCCGGACAATCAGCTATATTACAAATTCAGATTTTTGTAATAACTTGATCAGTTTTAAATTAGTTTTAATTATCTAAAAAATTTCGCGAATTAACTTTTTTTATTTTATTTTAGGATAGAACAACAAAAGTTTCAAGAAAAATAAGGAAAATTGTGTTTTTTTTTTTAAGATAAGAAACAAAAAATGGTGAAAAACTTGTGGATATCGCAGGTATATGGTCGGTGAAAAGGCGTTTCTACTGTTGGAAGAAAACAAAAATAGTTTAAGCGTTATGTCGGTGGCAATTATTTTGGTAAACATCAAATTTCATTCCCTTGTTCACATTTGTGTAGTATATTCACATCTTTCATATTTCATTTTATTGAGAAAATAATAAATTAAATTGTCACCTAAATATAGCAATATATGCGACAAATGGCATGTATGTGCATATATAGTAATGAACTAGTTACATAAAAATACATTTTTTTATATTTACTGTTTAAAGACAGCTATGAATCTATTAGATGGGATTGAATCTTATTAGACGCGTCCAAAATTGTATCATAACACATATATGCTGTTTCGCAATATAAAGTTTGCAAACATAACTTTAGTCTTTAGGTAGTAAAAATGTTGGCTTTTGCAATCTCAACAATCATAGTCTCGCTACGAAATTGTCACAAAAAATATAACTATTTTATTTAAAGATTATGTGAGTAAGCATTTGTTTGCTCATAGACGTACCGAATAAAATGAAAACAAAATAATTATTTTTCTTACTTTTTTACAAGAAAAAATATGACAAATCACATATTTTTAAATTTAAATCTGAGTGATAACAAAGTAACCATACAAATATGAATGTAATAGGTTAAATTTGTTTTGACAATTTTACATTGAAATGCATTTTGTTTTCAATAGTTGCATCAATCTTATAAATCTTTCAATAACATTCACAATACCAAACACACGAAAATTGCATCCAAAATTTATAGTAATCATAATATATATTGGTATTATCGTGTTTAAATGGATTGTCACACAAAAATGTAGTTGTTATTTATTAAAGGAGAGTAAGCAGACTAGTGGTTACTTATGTTATGGATTATGGAATAATGCAAGATAAGTAAATTGGTGTCGATATTGATTTTTGTTCTTGACTAAAAATTAGCTCATTTATTAAATTCAATAAATAACAAATAAAATTGAATATGTTAAAATTTTAATATTATTTTCGTAATTTTTTTTTGATAATTGATATGTGTAATGTTTTTTGATATCTCAAGAATTGATGGTTGTTATGTTATGATAGCAAATATGAGTTGTTCCTTAGTTTTATTTGACCCACTGGTGAGTTGACTTGGTGAGGCCTGCTGCTTTGCTGTTTTTCTCTTTCTTTTCCATTACAAAAAAAAAAAAAGTTTTGATTTTTTAATTTTTTTTAACTTTCTGGCAAAGTTCTCTGCTTTTGTCTTCGAGAAAAAGGATAGAAAAAAAAGGCAACAAAGGAAAAAGTTTCAGAAAATTTCGGTTCTTGAGCTTTTTTTCTCTCTCGAGCTAAGCGCACACACACACGAGCGGCTCGATTCGTAATTTCACCTTTTCGCTCTTTTTTTGTTCTTCCCCTTCCTCTTCATCTTCTTCTTCTTCTTTCTTCGTCGCTCAATTTCAATTCTGTTTTTTTTCACCGATCGTTTTCTCGATTTTGACCCTTTTGTGTATCGTTTTGTAAGTTGAAGAACATCATCACAACTGCTTTTTTTTTTTTCTTTCCACGGGAACTCTGAAGAAATTCTACACGGATTTGATCTGTTCAAAGTCTCGATTGGATAAATCAGCAAAAAGGGACGCGGTTTAGGGTTTATGGTTTGACTGCAAAATACTGAAATGGGTTGTGAGGTTTCCAAGTTATGTGCATTCTGCTGCGTTTCAGAGCCACAAGAATCCAATCATGGAGTCTCAGGCTTAGGTAAAAGCTATGATCGAGTTTTTCTGGGTTTCTTTTGTTGTCGTTGTTGTGTGTTAATAATAATCGTGGTTTTTTTTTGTTTTCTTCTCAGGTGATGATAGGAGAGGTGAGGGGAATGATTTGCCTCAGTTCCGTGAATTCTCAATAGAGACGCTGAGGAACGCTACATCAGGATTTGCAGCAGAGAACATAGTATCAGAGCATGGAGAGAAAGCTCCAAATGTTGTGTACAAAGGGAAACTGGATAATCAAAGACGTGTTGCTGTCAAAAGGTTTAACAGGAAAGCTTGGCCTGATTCTCGTCAGTTTCTGGTAAAAAAAAATAATCATGCTTAAAGGTCTTACCTTTTTTTTTGCAAATTTGGGTTCTTTTTGGATTTTGAATCTCTGAGTTTTTTGTTTTCAATAGGAGGAAGCTAAAGCTGTTGGTCAGCTACGGAACTATAGGATGGCAAATCTGCTTGGATGTTGCTATGAAGGTGAAGAGAGACTTCTTGTTGCAGAGTTTATGCCCAACGAAACTTTGGCAAAGCATCTTTTCCATTGTGAGTATTAGCTATCTCCTCTCTTAGTTTTGTGCTATGTTTTTTGGGGTACATCAAGCTTATCTCTCTTATGTAAATGTGTTCTTAGGGGAGTCACAACCGATGAAGTGGGCGATGCGACTAAGAGTAGCTTTACATATAGCTCAAGCTTTAGAGTACTGTACAGGGAAAGGGCGTGCACTGTACCATGACTTGAATGCTTATAGAGTTCTCTTTGATGATGTAAGTTAAAGCTTTCATGGTTTTTCTTTTATAGACTTTCGTCCTCTGTTAATTCATATATGTAAACCGTCACTTGTTTATCTTCCTAGGACTCGAATCCAAGACTTTCATGCTTTGGTCTGATGAAAAATAGTAGAGATGGAAAGAGTTATAGTACTAACCTGGCTTTCACTCCTCCTGAGTATCTCAGAACAGGTAACGACACTTACATATCTCTGTTTTGGTTGTATTTGGATTGTGGCCAGTAAGTTTTCTTTTGGAATAAAATTTGCGTGTTTGTTTCTACAGGACGTGTGACACCAGAAAGTGTGATGTACAGTTATGGAACTCTGTTGCTTGATCTTCTTAGTGGGAAACACATTCCTCCAAGTCATGTAAGCTTATGATCAAGCTAAAAATTCTCAACCAAATTGCTGAATATATCTATCGAATATCATCAGAGAAGAGTGTATCGTTCTAACAATAGAAGTTTAACTTGTGCATTCTTAGGCACTGGACCTTATACGGGACAGGAACATTCAAATGTTGATTGATTCATGCTTAGAAGGCCAATTCTCAAGTGATGACGGGACCGAACTAATACGGCTAGCTTCGAGGTGCTTGCAGTATGAGCCTCGAGAACGGCCTAACCCAAAATCACTAGTCACTGCAATGATTCCTCTTCAGAAGGATCTTGAGGTACTTTCCTACAACCATTAAAAACAATTCTATTCACACTGAATCGCATATGGTCTACATATCTTTTGTTATGAATCTAATAAGAACCTTGTTAATCATGTAAGACTCCTTCTCATCAACTGATGGGCATACCAAGCAGTGCCTCAACAACGCCTCTTTCACCACTCGGAGAAGCATGTCTAAGAACAGATCTAACTGCCATACATGAGATTATTGAAAAACTTGGATATAAAGATGATGAAGGAGCAGCTACAGAGGTTCCTTTCTTAAATCTAACCTTAATTTCAATCATTCTCGTAAATGTCTCTCATTGCGAGACTGTTTTCTTGTTTCTTAATGTAAACTGATCACCTCTTTGGATTGCTTGTTGCTTCGTTTTATGTCAGCTTTCGTTTCAGATGTGGACAAACCAGATGCAGGACTCGCTGAACTTCAAGAAAAAGGGTGATGTTGCTTTCCGACATAAAGACTTTGCAAATGCTGTCGAATGCTATTCTCAGGTTAGATCATTTTCTTCCGAGTGTTTTTGAGGTTTTTCCAGTTAAAAGGTCCCTATCACAAGCTCTGATGCAAAACTGTTTTGTTTCGACAGTTCATCGAAGGTGGGACAATGGTTTCTCCAACTGTTTATGCAAGGAGAAGTCTGTGTCACCTAATGAATGAGATGCCACAAGAGGCACTGAATGATGCAATGCAAGCCCAAGTGATATCTCCTGCTTGGCACATCGCATCTTATCTTCAAGCTGTAGCTTTATCAGCTCTAGGACAAGAGAACGAAGCTCACGCTGCTCTTAAAGACGGATCAATGCTCGAAAGCAAAAGAAATGCGCTGTTGTGATGATAACAGAAACATGAATAGGAAAACGAGGGAGGAAACAAGAAGATTGTTCTGTCTTCTTACATTACCGAAACACCACATAGGCTTTGCAGAATAAGAGATAGAAGCACTACACAGTTCTCATATCGTGTGCATCATCATCATCATCATCATTGGTCAGTTTCGGGTTTCGCTCTCGTAGTTCCCTTCCCCTTTTCTATTTTTCTTTTCTAAATACTCGAAGCATTCATTGGAGACTCTATTTTTGGTTTTATGTTAGTAGCATGAACAAATTCCCTGTTATACAAAAGAAAAAAGTTCCATACTTTGATGGAGATTTGATTACTAATTGGGAATGGTGTGATTATGGATTTGCTTTGATGAGTTTCAGGATTTGTAATTTATAATTATGTATGTAAAAGAGGCGAGCACTTTGTATTTGGCTTTTTGGTAATCTTATGAATTTTGCATATCAGAGTCGATCTTGTTTCCTATTGTGTGTTCTTCAGATCTCAATATCTCATGCATATCCACAAACACAGTCTTCCATAATCACATGAGCAGTAGTAGCTAAAACTGGAAGAAAACTGCGAAAAAAAAAAGAAAACACACATAAAAAAATTAAATAAGGGCCCAACCGGGTTCGAACCGGTGACCTCTCGATCTGCAGTCGAATGCTCTACCACTGAGCTATGGACCCTTGGATGTCTCTTAATTATATACAGTAAATTATGTATTATAATCAGTACCAACTTGGGCCTTACAACAGAAGGGGATAATGAGATATTGTGGGCCTGTTGATCGGCTCATTTCGGTTTTTTTTTCAGATGGGCCAAGTTATCAGCCGAGTAATTGCTTCTTGATTCGCTTCTCCAACATGTTATCGAATATTTGTTGATGAAAAATGCTTCATGATTCATGTCTGAGGTATTATAGCCGTTGTTTATAATATAATTCATCAGCTTAGTGGGAAAAAGGTTTAGAATGTGAAAACAAATGACATGAATCACTAAAATTCCATAGCATAACACAGAAGCAGGACTCACACATAACTGTCTCAAGTCTCAACTTAAGCACCCAAGACGAATCAAGGATAGAGTGATTACTCGTTGTTGGTGTTGCAAACGAGGTGCAAAGAGAACCTTGAGGTGCAATTCCAACAAAAAAACATTATATTAGTTTACCTATCTTAACTATATAACCTTACAATCTTAACTCTGTTCAACTACACCATCAAATCCGAAACCACACAAAGTATTTCAAATTAAAGTCACAAATACTTTTGCGTTATGAAAGGAGAAATAAGACCTTGTAATCAATTAATCTAGTTACTGAAGAAGAAGAAAAATGAGTAGAGCGGAACTTACAATTAGCAAACATCATTTGAAGTCTGAAGTTTTCATGAAAGAAGCTTCTCTAACCTTGAGTACTCTGTTTGAGTTAACAAGTGTTTGCATCTTCGACTCTTGTCTGAAACCTAGCAGGGAAATAACAAACAGGATCAGAAAGATTCGACGAAGATCAGACGTAATATCAAACGAGAAGTCTCCATTAGAATAGCAGCAACAGTGTTGATTCACCTCACAACATTTCGCTCTATGATGATGACACTGTGTTTTATCAAAGCATATCTAGGAATCTTTTGTCCAATCTCCCATCATACAACATATTTTTAACCAAACTTATTGTCGAAACATCTCCTGAGAACCCACAACTCCTCATTTCCTTGATGAGTTCTGCTGATGCGTCTTTGTCACAATCCTTAAGGCGTGTCCTGATCAGCGTATTATAGGTACCGCTATTTGGGGGAGGCCCATCTTCTTTCATTTCTCTAAACAAGGCATCCGCTTCCTGCTTTAAGCCTTTCCCACAAAGCCCTGAGATCATTGTGTTGTAGGTTATAATATCAGGCTTCACTCCTTTGAGGTCGAGGCTACAGAATAATTTCCAAGCTTCTTCCACCTTACAAGCCTCGCACATTCCTTCAATGATAATATTATATGTAACAATATTGAGTTCCATTTTACTCTTTTGCATATCTTGAAATACGACCAATGCTTTCTCGAGCTTCCCGTTGTAACAAAGTCCATGTAACAACATGTTGTAAGTCATAATATCACGAGGCACACCAGCAGAAACCATCTCTTTGAAAACTTGTTGGGCATTCTCACAATCTCCAGCTTGGTAAAAGCCTTGGATTAGGGTGTTGTAAGTGACTGTGTCGCCAATCAATCCTCTTTGAGACATCTCACGGAAGAGTTCCATGCCATCCTCTACCCTCTTAGACTTGCAAAATCCATTGATGAGAGTATTATACATCACTACATCTGGGAGACAACCCTTGCTAACCATCAAATCAAACATCTGCTTGGCCTCATCTAGGCGACTCTGCATGCAAAATCCATTGATGAGAGTACCATATGTCACTACATCTGGGAGACAACCCTTGCTAACCATCGAATCAAACATCTGCTTGGCCTCATCTAGGCGACTCTGCATGCAAAACCCATTAATCAGTGAACTGTACGTGAAAATGTCAGGATCTATAGACCTATTGATCATTTCCTCGTACAGTTTTTCGGCCTCCAAAATCTTCCTCTCTTTCACAAACGCATCGATTAATGCATTGAACGTGACTACATTGGGGTTGATTCTCCTCTCGATCATATCGCTTAGTAGTCGGGAGGCATCGCTCCATCTTCCATAATTACAAAGGCAACTTATGAGGGAGCTGTAGGTGACAACATTAGGTTTAATCCCTTTCTTCTCCATTTCATTGAATAGGTCGAATGCATCATCCACATGTCTGTGTTTGCAGAGACCATCAATAACTGTGCTGTAGGTGACAACATTAGGTTTAATCCCTTTCTTCTCCATTTCATTGAATAGGTCGAATGCATCATCCACATGTCTGTGTTTGCAGAGACCATCAATAACTGTGCTGTAGGTGACAACATTTGCTTTAATCCTTTTCTTCTCCATTTCACTGAATAGGTCGACTGCGTCATCCACATGTCTGTATTTGCAGAGACCATCGATAACCGTGCTGTAGGTGACAACATTTGCTTCGTTTATTACCGCCTCATCCCTCTCATCGCCAACAACATCATCAATTTCTACTCCAAATCCCAGCTCCCACTCGATTCTCACCGAGCTTTCGAAGATACCCCGCAGAAGAGCGCGACGACTTGGAGCTCAATCATCTCTTGTTTCGCGCAGAACGAGCTTCCATGGATGTCCCTCGACTTCCTCAGGAAAATGATGGCGGGGAACCTCCGCCCGGATAATCATGTTCTCCCGTCGGCTACGAAGTCATGTGGGATTCTGAATCGCTGCGATATCGGTAGATCGGTTCACTGTCTCTCGACGAAGACCGCGTACGACGGTGATGTGTACGTGGGGAGCTCTCTGGTTGATATGTACGCGAAATGCGGAGAAATCGCTGACGCGAGGAACGTGTTCGACGAAATGCCTCACAGAAATGTCGTAACTTGGAGCGGGATGATTTATGGGTACGCGCAAATGGGTGAGAACATTTTCCGATTCCATCTTCTTGAGCAGATTCAAAGCCAAATCAGTATGACCTCTCTTACATACTCCGTTTATTACCGCACCGTAAGTAATCAGATCTGGTTGACATCCTTTCAACACCATCCGTTCAACTAAAGACACTGCCTCTGAGACTCTGTTGTGCAGAAAAAGGCCATGGATTAGAGTTGTAAATGTGATTGTATCAGGTTTGTATCCCATTTCCACCATTCGATCAAGCAGAGATAGAGCATCCGAAATCCGATTCCCGTGACAGAAACCAATGAGCAGCGAGTTAAGCGTGACAATGCTGGGATCATACCCGAGTTTCATCATCTTCCCAAAAATGGATAAAGCAAAAGGGAGCTGAGAGGAGCGGCAGAAACAGTTTATCAAGATACTGAAAGTATAGTGATTATGCGGAATTCCCAAATTTTGCATCTTCTCGCCCAGAGAGATGACGACATCATACTTCCTCAACTTAGCGATAGCGCTCAACAGTTTACTGAAATCAACAATGGAAGGAAAAGGACGAGACTTTACCATTTCACCAAACAAACCAACAGCATCGTCTAGCTTAATATCACGAAGCCCGTTTCTCAGTATCTCTCTGTAACCATCACTAGCACCAGAGAAAGCTCGTACCCAGCAACAAAGACAAAACGAGGGAGAAGCAGCCGAAGAATTACCTTTCCCCTGGAGATTCCGATGGACAAATCTCTTCGGTATCAATGCAATGGCGATCGAAATCGTTCTCATCGTCCTCTAGATTTCGCTTCACCTGATTGATTGAGAGTTCCTTGTCAACAATCTCAGTCTCAGGAGCTTTCCCTCTGCAAATCGCAGAACCCTACACAAAGCGAGAGAAACTAATAAACCGAGCTATAGAAACCGGTATACTTCCGGTTTAATATTTATTCTCAATCTGGTTTACTATCAAAGGCTCTGCTCAGGATAATCTTTTCTTGTTTAGCTTTTTAGTTGGATTAAATTTTTAATAATGATTGCATCTGCTTTTTTTTGGTACTAAACTTGAGGAACACTACACTGAAACCATCGATTGGTATTTGATTGTTACTTTTTCAACACCCTTTCTATGATTGGCTTAGAATGCAAGTGAAATTAAAAGCTGTCTTTTTTTCATGATTTTTGTATAACTTTTATCCGTTGCTTTCATTACATTCACAAACACTTGATTCCCTATGTCACATGCGGCTTTAGATCTGGTAGGAGCGTTGCTGAATTTTCATGAACAGTGACAGTTTCCTCAAGAAGTTGCACATCCTCTCTTGATCTTCTTCCATCTCTCGTAAGTGATCTGTTTATTAGCTTCTCTTCTCTTATGCATCATGATGATCAAAGGCTCATTGAACAAATCAAATCTTCTGCAGAAGTGTGGCTTTATCTGATGGTAACAGAGATTTGTTGACTCTACGAAAAAGATGATGGCACAGAGTTCTGAAAACGTTATACCTACTCTACGTGATTTCTTCAACTCCCAGAGGGCAGGTGAAGAGAATGATGAGTTTATGTTTTACAGGGACCTCAAGAGCATACCACGGAGACCTACAAAGATGGCAAAGGAGAGACAACGTTTCTTCTTCAATCATGGATCCAAGGAAAGAAGCAGAAGGAACATATCAAACGCTGAAAAGTTCTCTGTGGAGCAATATTCTTCTGGTGGTTTCTTTGGTGTTCGTTTGAACACAAATGGGAGACAACAACAACAACAACAACAACAAAGATCAGTTAAGTCTTTAGCTTCAGAGAGAAACATGGAACCGAGATTGCAAAAGTCATTCTCCGCTAGAATGCAAAGTTTTCCGTTTATGCCTTCTTCTTCAAAGGGAAGCAATCATCAGTCTTCTTCCTCAACGAGCTGGTTTAGTCGTCTCAAGAAAATGTCTAATCCATTTTCGTACCGAGATCCTCTGATACCAAAGTCAGGCGAAATCAAGGTTAGCTGCAGAGAAGTGCTCTCAAGGAACAAGTCTTCTTCACCTGTTCATCTACATGCGTATCTCAGTATGCAATACGAACTTGGGATGCCTGTTTTCACCTTCTCGCTAGACCATCCGGATGATGTGTATATGGCAAGGACATGGATCGATGACAACGACTCTCGGTTTGTCTACTCGTTTCGGTACATTGGTGGTCGAAGCAACAGAAACATCGGCGAACAGAGGTTAGAATCTTCTTCACTTATAGGACAGATGCAAGTTTCAACTCATGTCTGCTTAGAGGTAGAAGAACCATACGAAGATCCTGTGGAATCAGCTGTGTCAGAGTTCGTTCTCTTTGACATCGCACGTGCACGGAGGAGTGGCTTCAAGAATGAACAACTGTCGAGACAGAACAGTTTTAGACGAGGGTTAGACCAAAGCCAAACGATATCTTCAGAGAGAGAGGATGGCTCGAACCTAAGACAAGAAAAGCTGTTGCCAAGACAGAACAGTTTCGGCAGAGGATTGACACGTAATCTATCAAAACATTCAGAGAACAGTGCTGCATCTGATCCTTGGCAGGCCTCGGATTTACATCCAGGCCTAGAGATTGCAGCGATTGTTATTAGAGACTCTTCTTCTTGGAGCAATGAAGTGAAGAACAGTAAACAGTCAAGAAGAGAAGTGAAAGTTATAGTTCCAACAGGAAACCACGGTTTGCCTGATGCTGAGAACTCATGTCCTACACCGATACTGCAGAGATGGAGATCAGGAGGAGGCTGTGATTGTAGCGGGTGGGACATGGGTTGTCATCTTTTTGTCCTGGAGACTCCCGTAGAAGAACAAGAACTCATCGGTAACAATCACCACGGTTTGGGACTTTTCATTGAGGTAAGATCTTTTTTTCTTTGTGGTAACAAAAGAGTGATTCAACTTGTAGAGTCTTGAGATAATAATAAGAAAACAAACTGTGTTTCAGGGAGAGAAGGAGATCACACCAGCAATGACAATGGCGTTCATCAGAGAAGGACACTACGAGGTAAACTTCCATGCAAAGCTCTCAGCTTTACAAGCATTCTCAGTCTGTGTAGCTGAGCTGCACAGAAGTGAAGTAACAACAAGAGGAGAAAGAAGCAGCAACTCTTTGTCTAGATGCAGTTCACTCAGAGAGCTTATCGAGATGGAAACTCCTGTAAACAGAGAAGAAGTTCTTTCGTCTTTCATGCCTAATGTCACTTTCTCTCCAATTTCGAGGGTTTAAAACATATCGGAAAGTAATAATGTCTTCCTCCTCCTTATGTGCATATCAACATTATACATTATACATATCATAAAAGTATATCAGTCAGAATCTGGGATGCATTTTCAGATGAAATTAGTACGTTGTCATGATGACTCAAAGAAGTCGGTTTGTTTACAAATTAATAATATTTCCATCAGTTTCATAATAAGTAATATCGTTTTATAATTTTATTAGTTTTATAAAGAACTAGATCAACAATAGATTTCCTTCCAAGAGTTAAATTCCTATAAGAAAATGCAAATTATTTCAGTTGAAAGAGATATATTCATGCAGAACGAAGAGTGATAACATGATTATGCAGATAAGAGCTACATGCGATGATTTCATGGTTTGGGTTGTGTTATGATTCTTATTCTTCTGGTCGTATTGAACTCTTGTAATTTTTGGACACAAAACTCAATATATATTTATGAGGATAAGACAAATAATTTGAGATAAATTATTTTCCTTATATTCATATCTCAGTCAATATTCAAATATCTCAGTCAACTTTTTCAATGTCTGTATTAAGAAATTCAGTTTTAAATGAATTTAAATATTATTTTAGTTGAATGGATATTTTATGATTTTATTTTTATTGAATTCTTGTAATTTTTAGAAACAAAACTTAATCACTAAACAAATATATAGATTTTTTTATTAGAATAAACAAATAATTTGAGATTAAAGGTTTTTTTTTTCTATATTCAAATCTCTTGATGAACTTTTCACACATCTAAAAAATTTAAAACACCATATAATTTATTAAATAATTAAATTTTTAATAAATTTAAATTTTATTTTAGTTTTTTTGGTGAGTGTTTTTGGGAGACGAAAGTTTTTTCCAACTCCTTAAACGCGTAGATTACCAAAAAAAAAACTCCTTGGACGCGCATACCCAATTACATATTATTCTATTCATCTTATTGAATTCTTGTAATTTTTTAAAATTTCTTGGGCACCCAAATCCAATTAAACTAATATGATATGATTTATTTTTTTGAATCTTGTAATTTTTAGACACAACATTTAATCACTAAATAAATAGATAAATTTTTATTAGAGCTGACAAATAACTTACTATAAATAGTATTTTTGTCTATGTGCTTTTATATCTATGAAATTGTGGTCATGTGTGTTCTGTCCACCGATCATGTCCATTAGGTTATGTCCAAATAGATGTATATATACATATGTTGAAAGAATCTGTACAATTGATTTATAGATACTGTATACGTTTTTGGATAATCTTTAGAAAGTTGGCATATCTTTATTTCCAAATATCATTGCTTTCAAAAATTCATTGATCGTGATTAATCTTAGGACATGTGGATGAAGAAGAAGTAGAACACAAAGAGTCAGTTCCTAAAAAAAAGAAGAAAAAAAAAGAGCATACAATTGTGGATGATCAATTTGGAAGCAAAAAATCTACCAATGTGGGCTACGGCCCATAAAAATTCTAAGTTGATGATCAATTTCCTTAAGTTTAACCGTCATCACAACGTACGTGTGGGGCTACGGCCCAGAAAAATACTTAGTTTTTGTTGTTGTTGGATCAAATATTACCGAAGAAATTTTACAACACCATATAAATTAAGGAAAACGATTCAAGATATTTCCTTTTTTTAAGAGTAAAGTTAGTTATATATTTTCTTTTTAAAACGGTAATGTGATAATTTTCCATTTATCAGTTCTCCTATAAATACTTTCGTGGAGGCATTGTGCTTCCTCATTCCTTCATTCTCTCTTACTTCCTTCGTTCGTGATGGCCCAGAGAAAGAGAAGAGTTGATTTGTTCGTCATGGACGATCCTTCGGCTCCATCGAAGTTCGCCAGAACCAATGGTCTCGCGGACGGCGGAATCAATAAATGGAACGGAAAGCCGTACTCGCAGAGATATTACGACATACTGGAGAAACGAAGGACTCTGCCCGTCTGGCTACAGAAGGAAGAGTTTCTCCGAACTTTAAAAGCCAACCAAACCCTAATCCTGGTCGGTGAGACCGGTAGTGGCAAAACTACTCAGATTCCACAGTTTGTCATAGATGCGGTGGATGCTGAAACAACCTCGGATAAGCGCAGGAAGTGGCTGGTCGGATGCACCCAGCCTCGTAGAGTTGCAGCCATGTCTGTGTCCCGTCGTGTCGCTGATGAGATGGATGTTGTCATCGGGGAAGAAGTTGGTTACAGCATCCGTTTCGAAGACTGCAGTGGCCCTAGAACGGTGCTTAAGTACTTGACTGATGGTATGCTGCTGAGAGAAGCAATGGCGGATCCGCTTCTACAGAGATACAAAGTGATTATCCTCGACGAGGCCCACGAAAGGACTCTGTCCACGGATATTCTGTTTGCTCTTCTGAAAGGTGCGTTGAGTAACAGACCTGATCTCAAGCTGGTGGTGATGAGTGCAACCCTAGAAGCTGAAACGTTTCAAAGGTATTTTATCGGTGCGCCTCTGATGAAAGTTCCCGGTAGGCTTCATCCCGTGGAGATCATGTACACGAAGGAGCCTGAGAGGGACTATCTCGAGGGTGCTATTAGGACGGTTGTCCAGATACACATGTGCGAGCCACCTGGTGATATTCTTGTTTTCTTGACCGGGGAGGAGGAGATTGAAGAAGCGTGCCGAAGAATCAACAAGGAGCTTGGGGACCAAGTTAAAGTGTTACCATTGTACGCCACTCTTCCACAGGCGATGCAGCAGAAGATATTTGATCCTGCTCCAGAAGGTGGTCGAAAGATTGTTGTCTCTACAAACATTGCAGAGACTTCTTTAACTATAGATGGGATTGTTTACGTCGTGGACCCTGGTTTCGTTAAGCAGAAAGTTTACAACCCACAAACCCGTGGTGAGTCGTTTTTGGTGTCCCCGATATCAAAGGCAAGCGCTCTCCAGAGAACAGGTCGTGCCGGTAGAACACGGCCTGGAAAATGTTTCAGGCTTTACACGGAAAAGAGTTTCAACAACGACATGCGGACGCAGACGCATCCTGAGATACTGAGGTCAAATCTTGCGGACACGGTACTGACTTTGGCGAAGATGGGCATATGTAACCTGGTGAGCTTCGACTTTATGGATCCACCTGCTCCAGAGACAGTGATGCGAGCCTTGGAGGTTTTGAATTACTTGGGAGCACTAGATGATGAAGGTAACTTGACGAGGACAGGTGAGATGATGAGCGAGTTTCCCTTGAATCCGCAGATGGCGAAGATGCTTATAGTCAGTCCCGAACTCAACTGCTCGAACGAGATACTCTCGGTTTCAGCGATGCTCTCAGCACCGAATTGCTTTCTTCGGCCTAGAGAGGCTCAAAAAGCAGCAGATGAAGCTAAAGCTAGGTTTGCACACATTGATGGAGATCACCTCACGCTGCTCAACGTCTACAACGATTTTAAGCAACACAATGAAGACCCAAACTGGTGCTACGATAACTTCATCAGCTATAGAGCAATGAAAGCTGCAGACAACGTTAGACAGCAGCTAGTGAGGATCATGACAAGGCTTAACCTGAAGATGTGCAGCAGTGATTTCAACAGCCGTGACTACTACGTCAACATAAGAAAGGCCATGCTTGCCGGTTATTTCATGCAGGTGGCTCACTTAGAACGCACTGGCGATTACTTGACCGTCAAGGATAACCAAGTGGTTCATTTGCATCCATCCAATTGCTTGGATTACAAACCGGAGTGGGTCATCTACGACGAATATGTTTTGACTACTCGGAAGTTCATCAGAACTGTGACAGATGTTCGCGGTGAATGGCTAGTGGATGTTGCTCCTCACTATTACGATCTTTCCAATTTTCCCAACTGTGAGGCGAAACGTGTTCTTGAGAAGCTTTACAAGAAGAGAGAGAGGGAGAAGGACGAGAGCAAGAACCGCAAGTGATTGATTATCATATGTTTTTCTTTTCTTTTTTGTACTCCCTCCATTTTAAAAAATTGTATCATTTTAAGGTTTAATTTTTGTTTCACAAAAGATTATCATTTTTAATGTAAAATTTAATATAAAATACCAGTTTTGACCTTAATAATTTAATTAGAGAGATGTTATTTTGTGTGTGAAATAAAATAGAACTTTTAATGATTTATTTAATTTGTGTGAAATATATGTTAAAGTCCAAGAACAAGGTAAACTTGATTTTTATTTCATTGACATTAAGCAAACAATTTTTTTTTTTTTTAAAAACCAACGTTTATGATAATCTGTGTTGGGGTGTTTCTAGCAACAATTAGGATTTCCGGGAACGCATTCACAAGTGTGAAATTTGCAGTTGTGAATGGGACCTTTGCAATACTTAGCACAATCTTCATTGGTATTGCATGTTATAGGCTTCAGTATATCATTTGTGCTTTCTTGCATCCTCGCACTCATCACCACACCTATACAAATACAAATATCAAACTCATTACATTATAGTATTCGTTACTTTCACAACATATAAAAAAGTTATATATATATATATATATGTATGTATTCAGAAAGAGATTACTAACAAGAGGTAAGGAGAAGAACGACGAAGAAGATGGTGAATGTGAAAGAGCTCTTCATGTTTCCTCTTTAACTGTGTCTGTGTGTTTGAAAATCACTAGAGACTTGTAAAATTTTGTGTGCTATATTCAACTGACATCAACATTCGTACATATATATACTAAAATTTGAAGGAAAGAAGTTTAATTTGAAGTCAATAAACTTTGACTATTTTTTTTTGGTATTAACTATTTTTGACATTTGACTAACTCAATCCAATTTAGTGTTATTAATTATAGCATAAAACAAGATCTGATGAGTTTGATTAAAATCGCATAAAATTTAATGACGAGTCTCATCAAATCTCATGAGCTTGAGTAAAATTGTATAAAATTTAATGACAAATCTCATCAACTCTCCAAAACTCATCTAAAATCATTTAAAACATCAAAAACCCTAACGAAAATAAAAAATCTCTAATACAAAAGTTAAACAAAAAAAATCAAAATTGTTGAAGATTTCTTTTTTTTTTTGGTCAAACTTTTTTTTTGGTCAAACATTCAAGATTTCATTAAGTTAAAAAAAAAAAATTAAAAAAAAATCTTAGGAAGCGTTTAAGTGACGCGGCTAAGCCTTAATCATAAATTTGAGTATTTTGATGACCGTCCGGCGTGAAATCAACGCCTGAAAGAAAAAATAATATAGAAAAAGTCTTCGGAAGCGTTTAAGCGACGCGTGCAAGTGACGACATCCTTTCTTATAAATAGAGACCATAAAGATCCCTTTTTCATCTTCATCTCCATCTGCAACCTCTTCATAAAAGTAAAACCCTAAGTTTGATTTCAGTTTCAGAATCTGATTAACGCCATTGTTGCCTCTGTAAGTTTCTCTTGCTACCTGTTTGATCTCTTTGTAGTTTCTGTCTCTTACTTGTCCAAGGTTCAATGTCCTTTAAGCTTGATGGGTTTTCCGAATTATTGATTCTTTTTTGCAAAAGTTCTGATCTTTTTGAATAGGGATCGCTGTTTTCTTTGATGGTCTTTGTTTTTGTTTGCTTGATTTGAGTTAGATGATATTCTCTTCGTAATTAGGGTTTAGGTTTTTAGAGCCTTTCCGTCTTCTGCACGCCTTCACAGAATGTTTCATCATAGGCTCGCTCTCGTCTCGTTAGAAACCATCGATTATTGAATATCACTAAACTTGAAGTGGAAATTAATATTTTTTTGTATGGATTGATCTGGATCTAGGGGTTTATTTTTTCGTAGTTTTGCAAATCGATTCAACTTCGAAAAAGTATTCCTAACAAATTTGTTTCTTTGATCTTTCTTTGTTATCAGTTTTGAAGATCAAGAGAAGAATGAAGGTTGATTGTTCTGAGGCAGAGCAGTGTGATTACGTCTTTGTTACTCAAGAATCCGAACCGAGCAGTGTGGTTGCCTCATCCGTCACTTCAATGCCGGATGGTTCCCCACCAGTTGAACCTCTTGGACATGGTTCTGCCGTTGCTATTGTTTCCGCCTCAACATCATCTCCGGCTCAGTGTTTCTCACTAACTCCTCCTGTCACCACATCGGTTTGTTCCGAACCAGCGCCACTTTTTGGCCTATTCGGTGCATCTTCAACTTCATCTCAAGTACTTAACCGTTCTTCACCATTCGTATTCAAATTCCCTCCTCCTTCACCAACTCCTTCTGCACCAGCGCAAGCTTCTGTCACACACGTTCCCGGCTCTGGTGCATCTGCTGTCACCACACCATCTATATTCAAGCCAATGCAAGCTCCTGCTTTTGGTTCTAGTGCATCAGCCACTTCCACTTCCTCAACCTCATCTCCATTTGCTGCTCCCTCTGCGTCATTGGAACCTCCTGTCCAAGCTAGTGCATCCAACACTTCCTCACTGTTTAGCTTCAGGCCGGCGCAAGGTTTTGGCAACACCTCTTTTGCTTCTCCTTTTGGTGGTATCTCGCCGCCAGCATCAAACACAGCAACTACTACAGTAATCTTTGGTACAACTCCAGTGACTGTTTCTTCAACGTCTGGGCCAACGCAGAACTTTGCCAAGACAAGTTCTGTTTTCGCTCCAAGCAGCACCCCGAATAATCCATTCAGCTTCCGTGCTGGACCAAACCCAACACCAACGACTGGCTTCGATCCATTTTCTACATTCAGTAGCATCGGACGAGGTACTAGGTATTATCGTTATGAACCTACACCCGCTGATGAACCTGGTCCTTGTATAGGGATGATGATGTCCATATCTGCTTCCAACTATTATCTGCGTAAAAGCCATGAAGAATTAAGGTGGGAAGATTACCAAAGAGGAGACAAAGGTAACCATGAACTAACTCAATTACTCTTTTATCTTTTTGTTAAATCACTCTGTAATTGACTAATTATCTCTTGTTCCAGGTGAGGTTGGGTCGTTTCCTGCTGCTCACATCTCTCCCACATTCTCAAGGCCAAACGATTTCTTTTCCCAACCAACCGTTACGGCGCCGTCGTTATCTGCTCCTCCAAGAACACCAGATCATTCGCCGTCGTCGTTATTTGCTCCTCCAAGAAGACCACATTTTCCTGCTGCTCTTCAGAGACCCCATGATGGTGTTTCTTCCCAAGCATCTGGATGCACTGCGTGTGGAGCCACGAGTAGCTCCTTTGCTTTTGGTCCCACAAATCCTCCATCAGGAGCCACGAGTAGCTCCTTTTCTTTTGGTCCCAAAAATCCTCCATCAGCTGCCACATCTCCTCTTCCCGGCTCGTGGTTTTCTACATCTGGTTTTTATCCAAATCTTGCAGCTCAAGGTACAAGAACAACTCCAGCACTTCAACCCTATCCTATGATGTTTGGTCCAGCATATCTTGCGGCTCAAGGTACAGCGACAACTCCAGCACTTCAAGTTTATCCGATGATGTTTGCTGCAAGCCCTGCTGCTCAAGGTACAAATCTTTCTGTTCAAAGTGCAACTCCAGCACTTCAAGCCTATCCGATGATGCTTGGTGCAAGTCCAGCAGGTCAAGCCTATCCTGTTGCTGGTTACGTTCTTCTCCCATTCCCCACCATGAGTCTGCAGTGATTGCTTCTTCTCTCTGTGCATCAAACTCTGTCTTTTAGATTGTAAGGACTTAAGTCTTTGTTTTGCTTTAAGAGTCACAAACCAAATGTCGTCAACTTTCATTATTTTGAATTTATCAACAAAAACAGAGAAGCTCTTTTCCTTTCTACAATAGATTCTCTGTGTCTCCTCTGTATTATTCAACAACAAATAACACACGTAAATGTGGGCAAGAATTATTACTACACTCAACATTCCATTGTTTTCCTTTTCTTTTTAGACAAAGTTAACAAATATTTCGTCAACATTATGATATTTTCTTCAAGTGTAATCGATGAGATCATAAGTTTTTTTTACATATTCTTCCTCTGAATGGATCAGCAAAAAAAAACTCTTTTATTTCTACTATTAATTTTCTCCCGGCTCTGTTTTGCTTCAGAGATTAATTACAAAACGTTATGATTATGTCTTAGTAAAGCGTGTTTTTAAAGAACTTTCTTTATTAAAAATTCAAAAAAAAAAAAATCAAAATCTCAAGAGTTTAAAGGGGTGGTATTGGATTCAAGAATTTAATTGAATCTGAAAGAATTCAATTAGAGAAGTAAATAATAGATTTTCAAGTATTTTAAATGATTTGATGGGAATTCTTATGTTACTTTTTTTCTAGATTTTAAAAGAATGCAAAGGAATTCGATAACTTTATACAAAGAAATTACAAATATTGTTTTAATATTATGATTTGGATCCACCCGACCACCGCTATCAATAGCTTGGCCTCTCAAAGCCCACCTCAAGGCTTTAGCTATGTACCTCTACAGGTAACTCCTTCCTTCGATTCACTATAGCTCATGCCTCAGTCTTCAACTTGGCCGCCGGAAGATTATTAAAACATGAAAAATTCTATAGGTTTAGCCACAAATCATTTGTTAGAACACTTTTAAAGGGAAGCTCTAACTCTACATAATTTGTAGTAAAGGCAATCAAAGTGAAACAAACAACACAATCTTTCATCCATAAATGAGACGAACTCCTACTGAGAAACTTTGCATAAATTCAATCCCACATGGGAAGCAAATGTTTACTACTCAGATGGATGAAAGATCGAGTATGATCCGACAAACAAAGAAGACTTCTCAAAAGCTAAAGGATTTGACTCATAGAAGAGCCGACAAGATCAAAGAAGAGAAAGAGAAATTATTATCCTAAAGAAAGGAAAAAAAAAATCCGAACTACCGAACAAACTTTCAAGATTTAGAAATACGATCTGATTTTAATCGGAAAATTTACAACAAAAAAGAGAAGAGCTTTCTCTCTCTCAAAGATAAGCGAGAGAGAAGAGAGAGAAGCTCTTATCGCTTTCTTCTTGAACAGAATCCAAATTTTATGTAAGAAAGATAAGAAAATAACGATACAAATAAATTATTTTCAATTCCCAACCTAAAAGTTCGGATTTAGGTGGGAGTATTGGATTTACAAATTCAATTGTATTATTTTCAAAATTTAATATTCTTTGTTAGTTATTTATAAATTTAAAGTACCTAATATTTGTATTCTTTTTTCTAATTTTAAAGAAATATATTTATGTAATGTAACAAACTCACATATATTTTATATATGTATTTTTAAGGTATCAAAGTTCTTTTTTATATTTTAACTAATATATTTGTAATATATTTTTTAATATTGTGAATTATTTTATAAACTATTGTAGTTTTAGAAAATGTATTATAAAATTTAGTTACATCATTTTTATTATATATATTTCCTATAGTATTTTTTTAAAAAAATATCAAATTTTTATCATAATTGTTTGTTTCTAACTTTTCGATAATAATGTATGGTTTTATAAAAATTTTTTTTTTGAAATATTACCTTTATATTTATTTTTTAGTTTACATTTTTACGTGAATACAAATTTTTAATAGTTATACAAATAGAAGATCATATATATATTTTTATTGTATATTTTCATAACTTTTTTAACACGCTTAAAAAATTCTATATCTTATTACTTTTCAGTTTTTTATTTTTATATTAATAATTAGTAATAATAATCCTAGAAAATTTTGTAAAATTTTATATATTTTTATCATAATTATTTTGTATATTTTCTTTTACAACTTATTGTTAATAATTAAAAAGACGTGAAAGATATTATTTTTATAATAATTATAAGTTATTTTGAATGTTTAAAGTTTTTTTTATATATTTTTTACTTATAATTATTTTAAATAACTGCGAAGCGGAGGTCCTAGTTTCTCTAATACAAAAAGTTCATACAAAAATTAAGTTTGTCGAAAATTTCGTTAAGTAAAAAAAAAAACAATCTTAGGAAGTGTTTAAGTGACACGGCCTTAATCCTAAATTGGGTATTTAGAGACTGACCGGCGTGAAATCAACGCCTGAAAAGAAAAAAATCATATATATAATGAGCAAGTTATCTTTCCATCTAAGCTGTCCACATCAGCATAATTTTTATTTTATAATGAGCTTTTAAATATTTTGGGTTTTGCTTATAAGTTTTTTATATTTTGGGTATTTATTTTTGGGCTTTTAATATGATTAATTTGGAAAAAAAAACAAATACTAATTTTATAGATCAAAAAAATTATAAATTCTTCATTTGTGAAAAGGAGTTTGGAAGGATTTATTCGAAAAACTTACAGAAAATAATTATCAAACTTTATAAAAAAACCTTAGAACGATTTATATATAAAGCTAAAGTAAAATCATATATATTAAACAAATAATTATTTTATAAACTATAAAACTTACAAATTCTCTTTGAAATAAAAAATTCAAAAAGTTATTTCGAATATAAACAAACATAATTTGAAAAAAGAGTTGGAAAATGAATAATTACGAAAAAGGACAGAAGAACTTGCTGAGAATAGTTATCAAACTTATTTAAAAATGCTCTAAAATATTAATGCTTAAAACTAAAGTAAAATCATTCATATCCACTTTACTGTATAAAATGAATGAAATTTTTTCATAAATAAATAAAAATAAAGTGTGTAATTATATAGCATATAAATGAATTTGATTTATACGAAGAAGGAAAAAAATGGCAAATACTTATCAACTATTTTTCTTAATGATGGTAATATAAAATTGATATGTGATCACATTACTCATCAACCGGATAATATATGAGTTTTAATTTAAAATATATAAATAAACTAAAACAAGATTATTGATTATACTTTTTAAGATAGTCTTGTTGTTTACATTCACATGATATGAAAATAGACAAAAATATTCTCACACATTCACAAATATAGTCAGGTATTTCATCATTGAAAAAAAAACACCTCAAATCAATTAAAATCAATTATTTATCAATTATGTATAATTTTTTGATAGAAAAATCCATCAAACATATGTAGTATTTGAACAGATCTTTTGCTCTGTCTAGCCAACTCTAACTAAAATTTTCCTCATTTAGAGTTATAACCGATCACAGAACTTAATGAGATGGAAACCTGCATGAAATAAGAGAAAAAATCAGTAGATTGCAATCAGAATAACGAGACTAAGAGCTATAAGAAAGGAGAAAAATAAATGACTAATTGTGCTTGAAAATGAGGTAGATTCCATAAAAAATTAAAAGAACATTTAGTTTAGAGTGGAAAAAGATTAATGATGATTTCACTTTGTTGATATATGACAAGAAGATATATAAAAAAATGAGAAATCAATTGAATACAGATAAACAGTAAGAATATAACAATTAATATATTATACATGACAATCTATATTAGAAAAATAATTTTACAATATAGATATATATTAAGACAACAAAAATATTTAAAAAATAAAAGACAAATATAACATACAATAATATTAATTTAATATAATATATATAAATATATAAAATTTTAATAAAATTAACGAATAAATCCGTGCAACAGCTGATAAAAATTTAGTAATACTAATAAACAAGAAAAAAAGTTTCAGGAAGCGTTTAAGCGACGCGTGCAAGTGACGAAATCCTTTCTTATAAATTGAAATCATAAAGATCCCTTTTTCTTCGTCTTCATCTCATTCCTCTGCCATGTCTCCTTAAAACGCTAAGTTTGATTTCAGTTTCAGAATCTGAAAAACGCCATTGTTGCCTCCGTAAGTTCCTTATCTCTTTCTCGTTTCTTTCTCTTACGTGTCCAAGGTTCAGTGCCCTTTTAAGTTTGATGGGTTTGCGGAATTTAGGTTTATTTTGCAACAAGTTATGATCTTTTTGAATAGGGATCGCTGTTTTCTTTGATGTTCTTTGTTTTTATTTGCTTGATTTGGGTTAGATGATCGTAATTAGGGTTTAGGTTTTAGAGCTCTCGTGTTCCGTCTTCTGCACGCCTTCACAGAATGTTTCTTCATAGACTCGCACTCGTCTCGTTAGATTCTCTGTTAACTATCGATTTAATGAATTCTGCAAATCTAATCTTAAACCGTAAACGCCTTAACTTGTATTTAGGGTTTTCTATTTCGTAGTTTTGCAAATCGATTCAACTTTGGAAAGTATTCCTAACAAATTTGTTTTTTTTTCTTCTTTCTTTGTTATTAGTTTGAAGATCAAAAGAAGAATGAAGGTTAATTGTTCTGAGCAAGAGCAGTGTGATTACGTCTTTGTTACTCAAGAATCCGAACCGAGCAGTGTGATTGCCTCATCCATCACTTCAATGCCGGATGGTTCCACACCAGTTGAAGCTACTGTCTCCACCTCAACACCATCTCCGGTTCAGAGTTCTTCACTAACTCCTCCTGCCACCACATCGGTTAGTTCCGAACCAGCGCCACTTTTTGTCCCAAACATGTTCAGTTCTGATGCGTTTGGTCCTCCCACACCTTCTGAATTGGGGAGGCCAATACAAGCTCCTGCTTTTAGCTTTGGTGATGGTACATTGTCTAGTTCTGCACCAACGCAAGCTCTTGGTCCTACCACTAGTTCGGAACCGGCGCAAGCTTCTGTCACGGACTTAGCTGCATCTTTATTCACTTCATGGCAAACTCATAGTTTTGGTTCTGGTGCATCTGCTGGTTCCACATCCTCAACTTCATCTCCATTTGCTGCTCCCACACCGTTTAGATGCGAGTCAATGCAAGCTCCTCCTACTTTTGGTTCTGGTGCATCTGCTGCTTCCACATCCTCAACATCATCTCCTTTTGCTTCTACTTTCCAACCTAGTGCACCCAACAGTTCCTCACTCTTTAGCTTCAGGCCGGCGCAAGATGCTTCTGCTTCTCCTTCAGCGTTTGCTTTTAACGTACCTAATGCTGGATTCTCGCCGCCAGCTTCAAGCACTGCCCCAGAGAATCTATTCAACAGATTGGTTCACGTAACTGGTGGTGGTGATACTAATTACTGGCCCGGACCTCCCTCCAACACTTTTGGACCATCACGCAACAGCTTTTTTCCCGGATCTGGTGTTGACTACTTAGCTTCTGAGGGTAGTAGGTATCCTCCTTATGCACCTACACCCAGTGAAGATCCATACAAGATGATGAGTTCCATATCTGCTTCCGACTATTATGCGCATAAAAGCCATGAAGAATTAAGGTGGGAAGATTACAAAAGAGGAGACAAAGGTAACTCATTACTCACAATCTTTTAATGCACTTTTTTTGTTAAATCTCTCTGTAATTGACTAATCTCATGTTCCAGGTGGGGTTGGGTCGTTTCCTGCTGCTCATATCTCTTCCCAATTCTCAAGGCCAAACGCTTTCTTTTCCCAACCAACCGTGACGCCGTCGCCATTTGCTTCTCCAAGAATACCATATCATTCGCCGCCGTCGTCATTTGCTCCTCCAAGAACACCAGATCATTCGCCGTCGTCGTTATTTGCTCCTCCAAGAAGACCAGATTTTCCTGCTGCTGTTCAGAGACCCCATGATGGTGTTTCTTACCAAGCATCTGGATGCACTACGTGTGGAGCCACAAGTAGCTCCTTTCCTTCTGGTCCCACAAATCCTCCATCAGTTCCTCTTCCCGGCTCCTGGTTTTCTACATCTGGTTATTATCCGAATCTTGCAGCGCAAGGTACAAGAACAACTCCAGCACTTCAACCCTATCCTATGATGTTTGGTCCAACATATCTTGCAGCTCAAGGTACAGCGACAACTCCAGCACTTCAAGCCTATCCGATGATGTTTGCTGCTCAAGGTACAAATCTTGCTGTTCAAAGTGCAACTCCAGCATTTCAAGCCTATCCGATGATGCCTGGTGCAACCACTGCTGCTCAAGTTACAAATCTCGGTGTTCAAAGTACAACTCCAGCAGTTCAAGCCTATCCTGTTGCTGGTTACATTCTTGTCCCATTCCCCACCATGAATCTGCAGTAGTTGCTTCTCGCTCTGCATCGAACTCTGTCTTTTAGATTTATAGGACTAGGTCTCTGTTTTGCTTAAAGAGTCATAGCCAATTTTTTTTTTTTTCTCAGTAAAGATCATAGATGTAAACGATGTGTTTGCAATCTTTGAATTCGTAAAACATGATTGTTTTGAATTTATCAACCAAAAAGGAAGCTCTTTTTCTTTCGACGATACATTCTCTATCTCCTCTGTTTTATTAAACAAGAAAGAACAAATTGGGCAAAGTATCAATAATTACACACTCAATGCTCCTTCTTTCTTCTTCTTCTTCTTTGTTAAGCCATGTCACAACCTGAGCACATGTTTACCTTTTGCATTCCGTATTGAAAATCTTTCAAAAACAAACTGCAAAAACTCTATTCTCTGACCTTTCCGCAAAAACAACCTGAACTTGAAGCCTACTCTGTTCATGTTTTCTCTCTCTCTGCATCAAACTCTGAGTAAAGATTCAACTATCATGGATGTAAACAATACTAGTTTACAATCTTTGAATTCGTAAAACATCATTGTTTTGAATTTATCGACAAGAAAAAAAGAAGCTCTTTTTATCTATACTAAGAGACTCTCAATCTCCAACTCTGTTTTATTAAACAACAAAGAACAAAAAAAATAGGCAAGAATCATAATTACACTAACTGCTCCTTTCTTGTGTTATCTCACGAAGCCATGTCTCAACCTGAACACATTTTCACTTTCTGCATTCCCTCCGCGAAAACGACCTGAACTTGAAAGCCTCTCCTTCTTCTCCGGTGAATGAATACACGTTCACATGCATGACGATCATGATTGTCATCAGAGTGTAGCAGCAACAACATGCGCTACTTGATATGGCTCATTGGATGTAGACACAACGTCAGACCAGTTAGGTGTCCCCAAAATCTCTCCATTTTGGCGTTTTTCAAGCGCGATTCCGCACACCGAATCGCTACATTATCATCAGAATCCCACAAAACCGCCAACTTTCCATCAGAATCGGCCAGTCTCTTTTCATAAAATATTTTTGGGACACAGCAAAAATTGGTTTATATTAAACTTTTGTTCAAAAAAAAATCAGCTTATATTATTAAATTCAAAATTATGACCCAACGGAATTTTTTTTATTAGATTATATAAATTAATTTTACATAAAACTAATTATAGTTTTATGTTGTTAAAATTATTTAGGATTATATAAACTATACTCTTACGTTCTTAAAATTATTTAGACTTGATTTTATAAAAGGAAAATATTTTGATTAGCGGATTTCCTGTTAAATTTTGTTAAAAATATTTCAAAATATAATATTTTATAATGCAAAAGAAATTTTATTTGAATGTAATTAGGATTTCAATATTAATTTACTTAACTTTGTTTGTTTTTGCATCCAAATACTTATTTGGATGTAGATGTTCAAATATTGTTCTTTTAAATATTTTAAATCTGTATCGAGATACAAAATCTATAATCGATGTGGATGCTCTTCTATCATTAGCACGGATCTTGGTTTGTATGATACTCGACGTTGAATATGATCACGGGCAGCAAGTAAGTCCTCTCTCTTGAACGGAATATTTACCCTGCAGAGCACAAACTCGTTGTTGGAGACGTTTCTCACCAGTGTATGCCACTCCGTTGGCCAGTTTATAGCGATATGGATTGATGTCTCGCTGATGTTATGACGTGATCTCACCGAGTATACCTCCCCGCCGTCCAAAAATGTTCGGAAATCCTTGGACATCGTCTTGTTCGCGAAGTGCCTAGAGAGAGGAGCTTTCGCTAGGCATAACTGGATAACGGGCAGAGGAAGGGGAGGAAGAGGCATCATGACGAAGAAGAAGCAAGAACGAATATGGCCACGAAATCAAGAACGAAGATGGCCAAGAAGAAGTAAGAACGAAGAGAGTGTAAAGAAAACACCGATAGTGCCAAGCACTAGCCCAAGACCGTAATACCCGAGAGATCCGAAAGAAACAAAGACCCTCTAAGTATGAATAATAAGATGAAAGAATACTTAGAGAAAACTTGAAGGAACTTTAGAGAGGATAAGAGAACTTATGAAGAACACTCTTTCTTTATTTGTTCAACTTCTCTTGTTTACAAATGATGGAGTAGTGGGCTATTTATAGGCTCCACTTATTACAAAATATCTTACAAACATTCTCCTAATCTCTAGAATTTTCTACAATAATATCTAGAATTTTAACTACAACATCTAGAATTATCTATAGAATTATCTAGATATTTAACTAATAGAATTCTCTAGAACATTTAAGAAAGATGATGATTTTTAGTGATGTTTCTAGAGATTCTAGAACTTGAGCTTAATTTTGGGCCTAATCTAATAACTAATAATTATTTTATAAACCCAAAATTAAGCTTAACCCAAAATCAAGTTTAACTTCAATACTCCCCTTTAAACTTGATTTTGTCAGTCATCCCGAGCTTCGAGCAAAGTAACTCGAACTGACCTTTTGGTAATGACTTGGTGAAGATATCCGCAACGTTGTCCTCGCTTCGAACTTCCAAAGCTTCAATTGTCCCATCAAGCACCTTCTCTTTTATGAAGTGATGCTCTAACTCAATGTGTTTAGTCCTCCCATGGAACACCGGATTATTGGCCAGCTTGATCGCACTTTGATTATCTCCATAAATTGCAATTGGCTTATTGATTGGCTCGAACAGATCTTCTAGGAGTCTCTGAAGCCAAATACACTCTTGAGCTGCTAGAGTTGACGCTTTATACTCTGCTTCAGTTGTAGATAACGACACCGTTGCTTGCTTCTTACTGCACCATGAGACACTTGTGTTCCCACATAGGAAAACATAGCCTGAAGTTGATTTCCGATCATCAAGATCTCCACCAAAGTTAGCATCCGTGAAGCCATAAAGAGAGACCTTGGCATTATACTTGTACACCAGACCCATGCCAAGAGTTGTCTTCACATACTTCAATATCTTCTTTGCCGCTTCTAGATGTGGCTTCCTTGGTGCCTGCATAAACCGACTTACAAGACCTACCGCGAAGGCAATGTCAGGTCTTGTAATGGTTAAGTATAAAAGACTTCCTACAAGAGAGCGATAAGGCCGAGGATCAGGTAGTAAGGACCCTTCATCGCGTTTAAGCTTTATGTTGACATCCATTGGAGTAGAGCGTGTCTTTCCTTCGTGTACTCCAAACTTCTCAACGATTCTTCTTGCATAGCTTTGTTGGCCGATGAATATTCCACCATTTACCCTTTCCACCTCCAAACCGCGAAAGTTGTTGAGCTCTCCCAACTTCTTCATCTCAAACCTTATCGACATATCCTCTTGTAAACGAGTAATTTCTGCATCATCATTCCCGGTAATTATCATATCATCCACATAAAGGAGAACTACCACGTGGACTCCTCCATTCTTCTTGAAGAATAGACTCGGATCAGAGTTTGATGCCACATAACCGCAGAACTGAAGAAACTGAGCAAGCTTTCCATACCAGGCTCGTGGAGCTTGTTTTAACCCATACAAGGCCTTCTTCAGCTTACACACATAATCAGGATGCTCTCGTGATATAAAACCAAGTGGCTGCTCCATCAGGATTTCCTTGTCAAGCTCTCCATATAGAAAAGCATTCTTCACGTCTAATTGCCATAACTTCCAACCAAAACTTGCAGCCAAAGATAAGAGAGAACGTACTGTAGTCATCTTGGCTACAGGGCTGAAGGTCTCATCATAGTCTTCTCCATACTTTTGAGAGAATCCCCGAGCAACCAACCTTGCTTTGAATCTATCAACGCTTCCATCTGTTTTGCGCTTGATCCGGTACACCCATTTACAAGAAACAGGTTGGGCATTCTTGGGTTTTGGAACCAAATCCCAAGTTTCGTTCTTCATGAGAGCATTCATCTCCTCCTTCATTGCGTTTTCCCACTCGTCAACACCTTTTGCTTCATCATAAGATGTTGGCTCATCTTCATCTAATGGAGCTGCAAAGTAGCACGAGAAGGTAGTAACAAACTTTGGATCTCTGAACCGAGCAGGTTTAATGATGTCCCTTTTAGGCCTTTGACTAGCCGTGGAACCATGATGTTCCTCCTCATCCTCCTCTTGATCAGTGCTCCCCCTTTCACCTTGCATCTCTTCTTCAGGACCTTTTTCCTTACTCAGAGCTGGTTTATCACTCTTGGTGGAACTCCCACCTTCTTGCTCAACTAAAACTTGAGGTGGCCCATAGAATGAGGAAACTTCATCAAAAACAACATCTCGAGACACTACGTACCTGTGTGTCTCTGGATCCATACACCTCCACCCTTTTCTTTGTTCGTCATAGCCAACGAAGATGCACTTCTTCGCCTTTGCCTCCAACTTGGTTCTTTGAGAATCAAACACATGGACGTAGCAGACTGATCCAAATATCCTGAGATGTTTCACTGACGGCTTCTTCCCATGAATCATCTCATACGGAGACTTCATGTTATTTGGGCTGAGTGGCATCCGATTTATGACGTACACTGCGCATCTCATGCCTTCCGCCCACAAGGCTTTAGGCAGATCCTTCCCATATAGCCAGCTTCTGCACGTCTCAGTTAGATGTCGAATCTTCCTTTCCGCTACTCCATTTTGTTGAGGTGTATACGGACAAGTAAACTCTCTCTTTATTCCATGCTTTTGACAAAAAAAAAGAGAAACTCCTTGGACATGAACTCCCCTCCATTATCTGTCCTTAAGGTCTTGATTCTCCGACCCAGCTCCCCTTCCACGGTAACCTTGAATTCTTGAAATTTGGAGAATACTTCTGATTTTTCCTTCACAAAGTATACCCAAGTGTGCCGTGAGAAGTCATCAATGAACAGCAACATGTACCGAAACCCGGAATATGAGGGTGTTCTTGTAGGACCCATCAAATCACTATGGATCCTCTCCAACAGAGCACTGCACCGTGAAGTAGAATTGTCAAATGGAAGTCTATGTGATTTTCCATATTGACAACCTTCACAAAGCTTTCCTTCATCTTGGATCTTCAGCTTCGGAAGCCCATTTACCAACTCCTTATTCACCATAACCTTTAGCTTAGTCATGTTTATATGACCAAGCCGAGCATGCCATATAGAGGCATTGTCGTTTGTACTCATCTTCTCCACGTATGAGTTGGACGCAGATAAGACATATAGATCCTTAACCCGCGATCCGGTGTGAACCACATCCGCCTTTAACTCTTTAATATTCTTCAAGAATTTGACGTCTCTTGGGCCAAATAAAACGTAGTTACCTGAGTCTACTGCATTCACCACAGAGAGAAGATTCTTCCTTACTCCAGGGACATGGTATACATTCTTGAGGGTGATAGGGCTTCCATCTTCTCCTTCAATGACAACAGTCCCTTCCTTCTCGACCCGGTGAACTGAATTATCCGCGGTAATTATGGCTTCTTTTCCATCATGGCGCTGAAGACTAGAAAATAGCTTCTCGTCTCCGGTAATATGGTGGCTACAACCCGAATCCACAATCCAATCATTTTCAAGATTTTTAGTTGTGGATATACCTGAAGATGCAGCCTCCACCGTGAAGCATTTCCCCCATTCTTCGTCTTCAATATGACCTTTTGATTCTGCCATATTTGTCTCCTTCAGCTTGACTCGACAATCCTTTTTGAAGTGCCCAAGCTTTCCACACCGGTAGCACTTGAATCGCTTCTTATCTCCAGTAGAAGATCCTTCCGGTCCATCGATGTTCTTTGCACCATCGTATTTGGATTTGGCTTTGAAGTTGTGTTGCTTCCGAGCTACAAAGGTGCTCCCCGAGTCATCATGGATTTTGACTCCTGCCATTTGCGTAGCTAATGACTCTTGCGAAGCTAGCAGGTTCTCGAACTCCTCCAAGGAAGGTTGTGTAGCCCATCCTTGAACCGAAGTCACAAACGGTGTATACTCAGGTCGTAGACCTCGAATAATATACCGTTTTAAACGTGCTTCGGAAATTGACTCCTCCGGATTTAGAGTATTAATCTCTGAGCGAAGATTCTTTACCTTGATGAAAAACTCTGAGATTGAAGACTCCCCCTGCTTTGCATTCGCCAACTCGTTCTCTAACAGTTGTAGCCGAGCTTCATTCTTCTTGTTGAACAACTGATCTAACGCCTGCCAAATGGAACTAGCGGATGTGCAACTTGAGACATGCTCAAAGACTCCCGAGGATATTGACCTCTTCAATGCAAACTCCGCCTTGGCATTCTTCCGTGTCCACTCCTTTGTCGCTTCCGCTGTCGCAGCAGCTCCCCTTGGTGGTGTTGTGCTACTGCCGCCGACGACATCCCATAAGTCCTCACTCACCAAGTATGACTCCATGCATGACTTCCATAACCGGTAATTGGATTGGTTTAGAATCTCCATTCCCAACCCAACAACGCGACCCATTGACTCCATACTTAGAGTAAATCTGAGATCTCAATTAATCCGATCTTGAAAAAGAACCAGATCAGAATGGCTCTGATACCATGTAAAGAAAACACCGATAGTGCCAAGCACTAGCCCAAGACCGTAATACCCGAGAGATCCGAAAGAAACAAAGACCCTCTAAGTATGAATAATAAGATGAAAGAATACTTAGAGAAAACTTGAAGGAACTTTAGAGAGGATAAGAGAACTTATGAAGAACACTCTTTCTTTATTTGTTCAACTTCTCTTGTTTACAAATGATGGAGTAGTGGGCTATTTATAGGCTCCACTTATTACAAAATATCTTACAAACATTCTCCTAATCTCTAGAATTTTCTACAATAATATCTAGAATTTTAACTACAACATCTAGAATTATCTATAGAATTATCTAGATATTTAACTAATAGAATTCTCTAGAACATTTAAGAAAGATGATGATTTTTAGTGATGTTTCTAGAGATTCTAGAACTTGAGCTTAATTTTGGGCCTAATCTAATAACTAATAATTATTTTATAAACCCAAAATTAAGCTTAACCCAAAATCAAGTTTAACTTCAATAGAGAGGGTAGATGAAATTAGCGATTTTATTTCAATTTGTGGTTTATATAGTGAACAGATATGGACCCGTTTTTTTGTTTTAATTTTTTAGTTAAAATCGATTACTGATCGCTGTTTTCTTGATATTCTTTGTTTTTATTTGCTTTAGGGTTTTAGGTTTTAGAGCCGTCTTCTGCACGCCTTATAGACTCGCACTCGTCTCGTTAGATTCTCTATTAACTATCGTTAATCTTTATCGTCCAGGAGGAAATTATTTTGGTTTTTGATTGATTTGGATTTAGGGGTTTCTATGTTCGTTATCCGATCGAAGATCAATAGAAAAATGAAGATTAGCCATGAAGAATTAAGGCGGGAAGATTACAAGCAAGGAGACAAAGGTAAACTAACTAACCAACTCATCATTAGTCAAATCTTGAATACATATATATTTATAAATTTTCTGTTTTAGATCTCTCTGTAATGACTAATCTCATGTTCAGGTGGGTCGTTTCCTTCTGTTCATGAAACCCCTGCTGTTTCTTCCCAGTATCTTGGTAAAGATAGTTATCAATCATTGATGATAACAATAATAGTATTACATATTCATCTTCTGAATTAGTTTTATTTAAATCCAACAAGAACAACAGAAAACAAAAAAAAACTGTTTTCTTCCTACTACTATATAGTCTTTGTCTCCTCTGTTTTGAATTTTCTCATATAGAACACAACAAAACGAGGACTCTGGTCAGCTTTGAGCTGTCGAGTAAGGAGTGACGGGCCTTTGGAAACCCTTGAAGTATTTTAAGGTTGAATATTTGTCAACACTTTTAGTTTTGTAAACTAACCAACACTTTGAAAATTCCAAATGAAAGTCACCTAATAAATTATATTTTACATGGTTATCGATCTCTGTTTTACAAAATTTAAATGTATGTTTATCCCACACAAAAAAAAAAAAAATATTATTCCTACTTTCAGTTTCTTTTGGAAGAATTCTATTTATACACTTCATTTGCTAACTAATCAAATTACCAAATAAAGAAGTAAGGGAAAGAGTCCAAAATAATATTATTTTATGTTGTACTATTCAAAACTAGCCAAAGATTGTAAAACTTTTTTTTTTCTTTTCATCTAATCTAACATATTCATTACGTATTTTACGTTGGTCCTTGATCGAAGTCAACGAAATCGCATAATCCAAGTCGTTTTCGGAACTTTAGGCAATTGATATGGATTAACTGTCCCCATCCAAAAAATATCCTTCTGACTTTACTTTCTATAGTTAAAGAGAATTTTCTGAAGCGTTTTTGAAATAATGTTTCAGGAGAAAAATCTATGACTAAATGGTTATTTTGATGTGGAAGCCCGTTGGTTCAGTAGTCGACTAAAAATTTCATTAATATTTCTACACCAAAAGGTCTTCGATTCCTAGAAAATGCGATTTTTGTAAATTAATGGAAATATTCAGATAAGGAAATGATGGACAATTAGAGTTATTCATAATGAACCCGCATATCTATGATGAATCTTTGTGGATAATTAATTTATCCGTTAAATATTATCTTGCATTCAAATGATTAAAAAATGGTTATTTTGAATGAGGTGTTTTAAAAGGGGTTAAAGCACCAAACAGAATAAAAGAAATGTGTTAATTTATTAATAATTTTACAGAAAAATATATGATGCCCGAATGTTTTTTCAACTGGGATAAAAATATACAAAAAGGTAGGACTAAATCATGATCTTATAGAGATCTCTAAACTAAGAGACTTTTAGCTGTTAATTAGTTTCAGCAGTTTTAACTCAAAATACCTAAAAATTCCTCTAAATTTTAACAACAAAAAACACCCCTTAATAAATTCAAAATGAAATTTGAAATGATAAAAAGATACTCAACTACATAACTTTAGGCTTTTTTATATATACGAAAAATGATTTAGAAAGAAGAAACGAAAAAACATTATTGTTATGACTTTTAAATTAATGAACTTTAAAATTGATGACTGTAACTTTATTCACTGTGACTTTAAAAAAAATAAAAGTCTTAAATTCTGGACTTTAAAAATAAAAACCAAATACAAGAACAAAAGAGGAGTTAAGGACTGTGAATGTTTTTAGGAACTGTGAGAAATTTTAGGAAAGCAAAAATGTGATTGGTAAAATAATTAACTTTTAAAACTGTAACTCATTCTAAAGTCTCTACAGCCTGTACAGTATGTTAACCAATCGAATTCTAAAGTCTCTATAACTTGAGACTTTTTTATGATTATGGTCATCATTTTTGGTAGATACTACGAAAATTCCAAATGATTGTGTGAGTTGACTCTTGATTTCTTCTTTGCAGCAGATCTTGTCTTCCAAAATTGTATAGACAAGTCCATGTTTAGCTTCATACGCTAACAACTTAGCTAAATATTTGTTAACTTAAAGTTTATGTCTTGGAAGGTTTAAAGAACAAGTAAATAAAAGATGATGTTCTCTGTTCAAAATTGTGGATTCGGCTCTCATTGCTGAAATCATCTGATTATTATTCACCTGATACAAGAATTGTTATATATGTTCTACCTTTGAATTGGTATAGGACGTTATATATTTGAACAAATTAAAATAAAATAAAAAGATCTTTCCCTATATAAATTGCTATGTATCTTCTCTGTTTTAATCTTTCTTCATAAACAAGAAAGACCAAGAAATGGCAATTTTCATCAGATTCTCTACTTTCTTGCTTTACTTCTTCTTCTTCTTGTCTCTATTATCGCACCAAACCATGTCCCAGCCTCAACACATGCACACTTTCTGCGACAAATTATCCGAAAACTTCACACAAACCAGTCCATACAAATCAAACCGTGAAACCCTACTTTCCTCTCTCCGCGACCGTTCCTCTCTCGGAACCTATTCCAACGCCACAATCGGTCTTAGCCCCGACATAGTCCATGGCATGTTCCTCTGTAGAGGAGATATCACCAAAACATCTTGCTCGGACTGTGTCAAGACCGCAACCCTAGAGATCACTAAAAATAACTGCACTTACCAAAAAAATGCTATAATATTCTACGAGGAGTGTATGGTTCGATACTCAAATGTTTCCTTCTTCAGACTCATCGAAGATGGGCCAAACATTGTTAAGTACTCTCTCGCATCTTTTCCTAACTCTTTTTTTAGTTCGTTCCAAGGAACATTATCCAAGAAGGTAGAGCAACTTATTATCCTCACGTCATCAAAGTCTTCTTTGTCTTCTTCAACGCCGTATTACGTGAGGGATATTTCACGTGTGAATGAATTCGAGGGCTCGTATACCTTAGACACGATGGTTCAGTGTAGTCCTGATCTTGATCCAGAAAATTGTGGCGTCTGCTTGAGACTTGCGGTTCAAGGAAGCTCACAATGTTGCAACAATGCTCGTTGGGCTCACATATTTCTTCCCAAATGTCTTTTGAAGTATGACTCCACCGGTTTACCACAGAGCGGTTCATCTTCTATCAACTTTAGCAAAGGTGAAATCGATTGTTTTACATTTGTTTACCTGTTCGCGTTAAGATAGTTAGTTTTGTTCTTTTTAGATGAAACGCAAGTACACAACTCTTAATGTATTAATCAAGATTTATTTGCTAAAATAAAAACCCAAACAGAAGAAGAAAGTCATTACAAAACCAACAACTATCAAGAAGATAATAAATTAAGCAACTAAAGTATAATACGTTTGGCTTTCTTTTTTTGTTGCAGTAAAGGAATTATTTGGGAGAATTTTCATTACAGCCATGGCGATTTGGGTATTAGCACTTGTGGGTTTATGATCGAGTGCAATGATTATGAAGATAGATTTATATTCGTATCCACGAATGTGTGTGAGTGTGACGTTTAATGTGTTATTTTCTTGTCTAATTAAAAACCAATTCACTATGTTATCATTGTGTGTTATTTCTGATGTTTAATTTAATAGGAGTGTATTGGCAAAATAAAAGTGTGCATGAAATGGATTAATCGAATAAAAGATACATTTCGTTAGGTTAAGTTATGAAGGGATTTGACTTAACATATACCTAATTTAAAACCAAAAAGAAAAGAAACATATACATACAATTAGTTAGTAACATATATAAATTTGAAACGATCTGACTTAAAAAAAAAACAAAAAATCAACAGCTAATAGGAAAAAAAAACATTCTAGAGAAAAAAAACAAAAAAAAAACACTTAGTTTTGAAGGTCGCGTATCAAGACGTGAACCAAGCTGTTGTTGCTGCTGCCATGCACGTCTGGTTATTGAGAGGCTGCGATCGTGGTGATGAGAATGGTAGTTAGCCGCATTTGACATTTAACTCTTTTATTTTTCTTTTGGGCTAACTATCATCTTTCATCTACTTTTCCTTGAGACCAAATTAAACTAAGACAAAATTATCACCAAGTTAACACAATATCAGTTTTGTTAGCGTATGGAGCAATATAATACATACACTACATAAAGCCCTCTCGCCACAAACAACACCGTCCCCATTGTCATGGATAAAATCATCACATTCAATTATTTAAAATCCACAGCTATAATAATATAAGATGTTCTCCCTCTGAATTGGTATAATAAGACGCAGTTTGATCATTATATTTGAATGCTTCAAATAATTATTTTCTATAAATTCTGATATCTTCTATGGTTCGTTTTATGTCTTCGTAAAATACAAAAATGGCAACAACCATTACTTTTTCTTGGGCTCTATTGTTCCTCTTCTTCTTCTTCTCTTTCTTATCTCTCCAAACTATCTCCCAGTCCCAGCCTCGAGTCCATCACATGCACACCCTCTGCAACAACGAATCTAACAGTTTCACACGACACAGCTCTTACTATTCAAACCGTAGCTCTGCCCTCGCGTCTCTCCGAACAAGGTCCTCTGTCCGACCTCCAATCTATCTCAGCGTCACGAAAGGTCTTGTCCCCGACACAGTCTTTGCCATGTACCTTTGCAGAGGAGACATCAGCAAAACAAACTGCTCAATCTGTGTTCGGACCGCAACTTCAGAAATAAGAGAAAGTTGCACTTATCAAAAGGAAGCTCTCATATTCTATGAAGAGTGTATGGTTCGTTACTCTGATAATTCCTTCTTCGGACTCCTAGATGGACCTAAAAGCAATGCCATACTATACTCTCCCGATAATTTTTCTGCTACGAGTCGGTTCCAACAAACAATTTCTGGTAAGATGGACCAACTTATCCCGAGAGCAGCTTCGACGACTTCGTTGCCGAAACCATATTTCGTGCAGGATAAACAACGTTTGACTGAGTCCGGTAGCTCGTATACATTAGACTCAGTGGTGCAGTGTCGTCCTGATCTTGATCCAAGCAACTGCACCATCTGCTTGAGACTCGCGTTCCAACGTATCTTGGACTGTTGCAGCCGGTCTCGTTCGGTTCATAACTTCCGTCCTGAATGTCTCATCAAGTATCACATAAAGCCCTCGCCACTGAACGTCCCGAGTCATGGTGTTATTAAAGGTGAGTATAGTATATATATATTATCATTTATATACAGTTTATCACTTTTAGTATGATTACGGATGTTGCCATGGACTAATAAGATCCAGTCCGGTTCATCTTTATCCGGTCCTGTGGTTCTATGATATGGCCTTGTCCTTTTCTTTAGAGTGCTTGCACGATGATCCACTAGTTAATTAACCGCTGAATTAAAAAAAAAAAAGTTTAATATAATATAGACAAATTCGGACTTCTTCCTGTAAATAGCCACGGCCCTACTTTGATAGAAATAAACCAAAATAAAAATTCTCTAGCTAGAATCCAACCTTGCAGAAGAGAATAAAAAATATAAATATGTGTGGACCGTTTCAAAGTATGTGAAAGTCAATGTCCGGCTTCTCCATGAACTTGGAGACTACCATACCGATAGCAAAGACGAGAGGCCACACAGATACTTTGATGGGACCGTCCTGTCCTTTATCGATGGAGATACAATTGATGGTCGACACGATTAAGTGACCAACAACACAGAACAATAGACCGTATCTGTGAAGCTTCCGAAGATTCTGTTGTAACCGCGTGATGGATAGTAGAACCAAGGTACAGGCCTCCACTTCCATCGGAAACCAGCTTTATGGGCTCCGATTTTGTTATTGAGGTCAAAGATGGAGAGGACAACAGAGAGAATAGAAAGTACTAAGGAGATTCTTGCGCAGTAAGGCTTGCGAATGGTAGCGAGCTGGTCTGAGACCGTTGATGCAATCTCCAGGAGCAAATTAATGACAACGAGAAAGGCTATTCCCGTGAAAAACCGACTTTTACTTTTTTGTATTGGCTTGTTAGACGTTGGTGATAGTTCAACTAAATCCCTAGACGTTGTAGCATTCAATGTATATGAAACATCTCTTGCAATTGTCTCGATCATGTTTGCTTCATATTCCCTTAAAAAAATGATAAAATGACCGAAAATAATGTTATACATACATAAACCCCTATAAAAAATAAAATAAAAAATGTTCCAAAATAATCCAGAATGAGATAATAATATGAAACATGTATTTTATTAAGAAAAATTGTAAAAATAACATTTTACTGGTTTTTTTAAATATCATCACTATCCTTTTAAGTTCTAACTACTTTTATTTGTACCCTAATGACAGACTAATGGCAGACTGAGTACATACTATTGATAGATTGATTAGTTTTATAATTGAATGTAGACTATAGACAGACTAATGACAGACTAACAACAGATTAAAATCACACTAATGAACTCTTCTTACGAGTCATTTTAGAAAAAGTCATATATCTTAATAAAATTACCAAATAGATCATTTCAAAAATTATCCCCCAAAAATTATATAAATAAATTGTAAAGAACATTTTATAAATAAATATCAACCTTCTTTTCTAGCTATTTTTCTATTGCAGATTAATGGTAAACTAAATATAAATTAATTAACTATACAACTGAAAATAAAAATAGACTAAATACAAATTAATTACATATCAAAAGCAAACTAATGATATACTACTACTAACCCCAAACACACTAGTGGACACTTATTACAAAAAAAATTTAAAATCCATTTTCACATTAAAAATTACCAAAATGGACTATTTAAATAAGCAACTCTTAAGAAAAATCACCGTGTTTATCAAATAGTCATGTGAAAATGATTTGTAGATTCCACAAATGACATTTCCTAAATCGGATCAAGAAAGAATAAACCCCAAATTAATGGAAGGAAGAAAAAGAAACAAACCAGTTTCCGAAGTGATCATATCCGATTATGTTTGCGACATCAGTCAAAGCTTGGCTCCATTTACACCTCTCCTCTTCTGTTTTACGAGCACACGTTTCATCGAAAGCTGTCCCAAACTCTCCGATTTGTTTCTGGACATCATATGGATCTACTCCGTAGAAGACAGTAATCACTCTACGTCCCATTTCTTTCTTGCATCTCAAAATCTCCACCAGTTCATCTAAACACCTGCTCGACGAAGCATAGTTCTTGGTGAGCACCACGATCGAAATCTTAGATTCCCTAACCGCTTGCGGAAGACCAGCAGGTTGGCTTCTCTCGACCCTTTGATCCTCGAACATGATCGTACTTGCATTCTTGCTTAACTCTACTCGAAAGTCGCTGAGAAATGTTTTAGGGACGTCTTCTCCATGGAAGCTCGCAAAGACTGAGTATCTCCAGTTGTGAAGAAAAGAAGAAGACATGAGAAGATTCCAAGATTAGATATACAAAAATCGAAAGCGTCTGGTTGAGACATATATATATGATTGAGAAAATTGATAAAGGCTCGTTCACCATTCACTATATTATATTTTGAGAAAAAAACGAAGAAGCTTCTTGGATGTTTCGTTGAACTCGCAAAAGACACGGTATGAAGAAGAAGAAGAAGATCGATGAATAAATGAGATTAGAGTAGAGTAAATATTGCATGATCAGATACAGTATACAAAAAGTTGAAAATGTGAACAGTAACACATAATCAGACTAGTTCTCCTATTGTTTTTTTTATAAAGAAATATACGTTAACGCATCAACATTCCACAATATTTTTTCAGAAAATGGTGAAAACAACCTTTTCGGCAGAGTTTCCACCATCTTTCAGCTGCATTCCTCTGAATTCTTCAGTTCAGCTAGTACCAGCTAGGGCCTGAATGAAACCATACATGATTAATAAAGGCACGTTCACTATTCACCATTAGATTTTGAGGAAGAGCGAAGAAGTTTCTTGGCTTTTTCAGTCTCCTTCAGTAACTGGTACGTTTTGATATTTGTAAACAGTTAAATTTATTAGTAGAGATAACCGGTCACTTTCAAAACCATCATAACCGGTTCGCTCGATCCCTGATCGTCGTGATCCTATTGTCGTTAAAGCTTGTTGGAAAGAAAGAACTTTTAAGAGTGATAGAAAAGGTGTTTACAATTTGAAAGACAAATGAACAAATTTAAGAAGAAGAAAGTTTTTAGAACTTAGAGAGCTGATGAATTTTATTTAACTTCTCTTATTATTTCTCTTAACTTATTGGTTACAAAATGAAAGAGGAGATGGCTATTTATAGCCTCCAAACTAAAAAATATTTAAAATTTATTTAATCCTAAATCTAAATTATTCTATCTTAATATCTAGATTATTTTATTACAATTATCTAGAATTATCTCTAGATTTTTATTCTCTACATCTTTCTAGAACATTTTAAAAAAGTGGAGATATTAGATTTTTCTAGAGAAAACTCTAGATTTTAGATCACTTATTATTGGGTTTAGCCCAAATATTATTGGATTAATGATCCAGTATTTAAACTTGATCTAAAATCAAGTTTATCTTTCAACAAAGCTATCATCGCTTCAATTAATAGAGTAAGGCATTTTTGCTTTAGTTCAATCTATGCGTCAAAAAAATCATATAGAAAACCGCAAAGCTTACGTGGACAGCATTAAGTTAACACTAAGACAAATGTAACACTTAGTTAATGATACTGTTTGGTTAATTAGGTTTACATGGAAGGACAAAAGGACATTATCATATGCTTAGTTACAACTTACACAATTAGCTACCCAAACACCATATCAGCTCAGATCCATCACAAATCTTCCTCCAGCCCTCAGGGTAAATCTCAAGTCGTCTTCATCGTCTCTTGTTGAGTGGTTTTGCTGAAGATGAGGTGCTAATCGTCGGTCTTTTAGCACATGAGGCAAATAAAGAAGATTAGATGACTCATGAGAAGAAACTTGACTCTAAAGATCTTATGTCAAATTTCTCTTGTGTATGAGCAAGCAAGCATCTAAAGAGGCTTGTGCTATAGCATTGACCCAAAATAAGAACAAGTTTTGTAAATCTTGTGTTGTTTTTGTTGTTGATTGCTTAGGTACTTGGGAGAGCTTGGATGCATACAGTCTTTGTTGCCTCTGCACAATGTTGTGGCTTCAGCTCGGCTCACGTCTCACCTTAATGTTAAGGTGCTAGCTTTCTGCGAACTCTACGCACTTGTCAAGATTGCTAATTAGTCTCCATTTATTAGTGTTACTAAAGTTTTTTAAGAACAAAGTATAAGAACAACTCTTCTTATTATGCTTAGAAAATAGTTCAAAACTAAACACAAACTTTGCTCTCTACTCACACCTTTGTCACAGCTCGACATAGATGTATTTATAGGCTTAACACATCTTTGCTAATCCTATTCTCAATAGAAATAGATAACTCCTAAAACTATCAAGATTATGACAACCTTACTTATCCTAAACTAACTTGTTATAGGCTTCTTAGGTTGCAGGTCTTCTATCAAGATTATGACAACCTTACTTATCCTAAACTAACTTGTTATAGGCTTCTTAGGTTGCAGGTCTTCAAAGCTTATCCAACATTCTCCCTCTTAAGCTTTGTTGACTCCATTTTAGACATGTCTTGAACACCTATCAAGCTTCTCATTTCTGAAAACTTGATCCGCGCCAAGGCCTTTGTTAATATATCCGCTTTATGCTCGGTTTCGGGTACATGTTCCACATCGACAAGCTCCCTTTCAATGCATTCCTGAATGAAATGATAGCGCTTGTGAATGTGTTTACTCTTCCCATGGAACACCGGATTTCTGGTGAGTGCGATTGCAGACATATTGTCGATCCTGATGAGCACTTGCTCCGCCTTCCTCCATGTAATCTCGCTTAGAAGATCCTGAAGCCATATGGCTTGTCTCGCTGCTTCCGTCACGGCCATGAACTCTACTTCACAAGAAGAAAGAGCGCATGTGTCCTGTTTTTGAGAACACCATGTAATTGGCGATAGTCCGAAGTAGAAAATATGACCCGTTGTACTCCTTCCGTCATCTTGGTCAATGTTATGACTACTATCGCTAAAGCCAACAAGCTTCTTTGAACCTCCACGCTGAAACTTCAAACCGTAACTCATCGTTCCCTTAAGGTATCGTAAGATGTGCTTCATTGCTTCACCATGTGACTTCCGAGGGCTTTGCATATATCTGCTTGCGACTCCAACAGATTATGCTAAGTCTGGTCGTGTGTGTAGCAAATACCGTAGACAGCCTACGTTCCTTCTATAGCTCGTGGGAGCTATTTCTTCTTCTTCGAGTGCTTTAGAGAACTTTAATCCAAACTCCATGGGTACTTGCGTCGGATTACAATTCTCTAAGCCAGCTTCTTTTAGGATCCGTCGAGCATAACCTTCTTGTTTAATCTCTATTCCATCTTCTCCTTGATATACTTCAATACGAAGGTAGTAGGTGAGTTTTCCGAGATCCGACATCTCAAAGGTAGTTGACATTCCTCTTTTGAACTCGTCAATCGCCTTGAGAGAGTTACCAGTTACGAATAAGTCATCTACATAGATCGCAATAATGAGGAGACTCCCTCCTTTTTCTTTGCGATATACTGCACTTTCTTTTGCACACTTCTTAAATCCCATCTACTTTAGGATTTGATCCAGCTTTGTATTCCAGGCTCGACGCGCTTGTCTTAATCCATACAGAACCATCGAGAGCTTGTATACCTTGTGCTCTGCTCCTTTTATCTCGAAGCCTTCGGGTTGCTCTACGTAAATGTCTTCTTTTAACTCTCCATGTAAAAATGCGGTTTTCACATCCAGGTGATGAATTTCCCATCCTTCTGAAGCAGCCAATCCAGTCAACAAACGAATAGTCTCAATACGTGCAACTGGTGCGAATACTTCGTTGAAGTCCACGCCTGATTCCTGTATGTATCCCTTTCCTACAAGTCTCGCTTTATGTTTGTTGATGGTGTTATCCGCGTTTTTCTTGAGTTTAAAGACCCACTTGAGACCAATCACTTTCATAGATCCTGTTCTTTCAACTAAAAACCATGTTCTGTTTTTGTTGATTGATTCGATCTCATCTTTGCAAGCTAGTCTCCATTGTAATGAACCCTTTGCTTCCTTGAAACAGCTTGGTTCGTCGTTTATTAGAAGCAAAAGTCGCTCACATTCCACGGAGGCTTGAAAGGTGTAATCTTCGCCGAGATAACAGACGTAGTCTCCAAGGTATCCTGGTAAATTTGATTCACGAGTAGACCTCCTTAGTGGTTGCTGCTGTTGCTGTTGCTGCTGTTGATGATGTTGCTGCATCGGCTGTTCATGAGCATCTTCTTCCTCGTTTGTATTGTCATCTCCTCCGTGATCACTTAAGTCTTCGTTTCCTTCCTCATGGTGATCATTCCCGACAATAGTAGGACCTTCTCCAGTGTCTACAATATCTCCCCACCTCAAGTGAAACATTCCAGGATCTCTGTTTGATCCTTCTTTATTTTCACTCCAGTTCCAGCTTGACTTCTCATCAAAAATAACGTCGCGGCTTACAACAATCTTCTTCTGCGATGGATTGTAAAGTTTATACGCCTTGGTTCCCGGTTCTAAACCAAGATGTACTAGTGGTCTTGATCTGTCATCGAGTTTTTTGAGGTTTGTAGTCTCTATCTTAGCATAAGCTAAACATCTGAATACCCTTAGATATTCAAGGTGTGGTTTCTTGTTCCTCAAGCATTCATATGGTGTCATGTTCTTGAGGGCTCGTGTTGGTACTCTATTGAGTATATGTGTAGCGTGTCGCACAGCTTCTCCCCATAGATAGTTCGGTACTTTCATTGCTTTGAGGGTGCTCCTTGTCATCTCCAACAGAGTCCGATTTCTTCTCTCCACCACTCCGTTTTGCTGAGGTGTGTATGGCGCCGTGAGATGACTCTTAATCCCACTTGAATTACAGAATTCATTGAATTCTCCAGAGGTAAACTCTCCTCCTCTGTCCGTTCTTAGAGTCACTACCGTCTTCCCGAGGTCCCTCTCAACTAAGTTCTTGAACTCTTTGAACTTAGAAAACGCATCGCTCTTCTCTTTAATCAAGATAGACCACATGTATCTTGAATAATCGTCTATGATAACAAATATATATCTGTTATTTGCGATGGTTGGTGGTGTGATAGGGCCGCATAAGTCTGCATGTAGTAGCTCCAAGGGTTTTGAAGCTCGATAAGTTGTTGCAGACGGAAACGATTGTCGAGTCGCTTTACCAACCAAACAGGATTCGCAAACTCTGTTTTCTTCTTTAAACTCCGGCAACCCGTGAACCATCTGCATTGTTGACATAGCTTTCATGGTCTTGAAGCTGATATGTCCTAACCTCGCATGCCACCTCCAGGATTCTTTAAACATATTGGTCTCCCAATCTTGAGATTTATCTTGTATAGTCTGTTTGCTGACCTTGTGACTTTTACGAGGAGTTTTCCGTTTGGATCGTGAACTTGTTAGGAAGTTCTGTCTCATTCTGACATCACACCCGATCTTCGTAGCTTGTCCTAAACTTAGGATGTTGCTCTTAAGTGCCGGAATGTAGTATATATCTGACACCAGTTTCTGTTCTTGTGTCTTACTTTGAAATAATATAGACCCCTTCCCTCCTATTTCGATGCACGATCCATCTCCAAACTTGACTTTGCCCTTTATATTCTCGTTTAGTTCCGAGAAATACTCCTTACGGCCAGTCATGTGATTGCTTGCTCCATTATCGAGATACCAAAGTCCTTCTCTTTTATCGTTGCTTAGTTCTTTGGTATGATTTTCTCTTCGTTTAAGAACACGAGTTCGTGCAGGTATAGAGCTGCTTCTTCTTCGTCAGTCTCTACTTGATTAGCTTCCTGCAGTTTTCGTGGTCTTTCGGGACAAACAGAGGCGAAGTGACCCGCCTTGTCACAACGATAACAAATCAACTTCGACCTGTCTTTCTTTTCTTTTCTCTTCGTTTGGTCCGATTGATTTGTTGACCGATCTTGTGAATTTCCTTGTCCCCTTCCTCGTCCTCTGTTTCCTCTGCCATGACCTCTCCCTCTTGAAGAAGACGCGTTTCGCTCGTCTGAATTCGTGTAAAGCAGCTTTTCTTGAGAGTTTCCGTGGCTCTCATCGTCTAGTATCCTTTCTTCATACGCTTTGAGCCTACCGATTATATCCTCAAAGCTTGTTGCATTCAGATCTAGAACCTGTTCGAGAGAAGCTATGATGTGTATATACCTCTTTCTCGGTAGGCTGTTGAGAAATTTCTTTACCACCATAGTTTCCTCAATCGGTTTCCAAGAGAGGCGGCCTTCGTTGATAGTTCCGATAACTTCCCTGCAAAGTTATCGATCGTGTCTTCATCCTTCATCTTCATACGATCAAACTCGGACATGAGAGTCTGCAAGCGTGCCTCCTTTACACGGTCAGCCCCTAGATGTTGGGTTTTAATCGCATTCCATATCTCCTTAGGAGATTCCTGTTCGCCGACTTGCATAATAAGCGCCTCCGGGATGGATTGGAAAAATAGTGCGACTGCGACATCGTTCTTGTTGTTTTCAAACGTTCCGGGATCGATTGCTTCCCAGACTTTATGAATTCGCAACAACACCTTCATTCGCATCGCCCATACTGTGTAGTTCGTGGATGTCAGCATCGGGCACTGTATCGAGATCGTCTTCTCTTCCCTTGGCCGCGGAAGAGGAGGCTCATCTTCTGCCATTGCTTGACCTTCTGTACAGAACTTTCGTGATCAAAATCAAGTCTCTTTTTTGATCGTGATGTCTTAAGCTCTGATACCAAATAAAGTTTCTTAAGAACAAAGTATAAGAACAACTCTTCTTATTATGCTTAGAAAATAGCTCAAAACTAAACACAAATTTTGCTCTCTACTCACACCTTTGTCACAGCTCGACATAGATGTATTTATAGGCTTAACACATCTTTGCTAATCATATTCTCAATAGAAATAGATAACTCCTAAAACTATCAAGATTATGACAACCTCACTTATCCTAAACTAACTTGTTATAGGTTTCTTAGGTTACAGGTCTTCAAAGTTTATCCAACAGTTACTGCTTTTAGGACTTCATTGCAAAGAGCAAACTAAACTAGTTTTTTTTTTCCTTCTTCTGAGTCTTTTGTTTAATGTTTCTTGTTGGAACAATTGTCATTGTGTCCGTACTCTTTTTCGTCTTGAAATGGAATAAAAATCTGTGACCTTCGTATTGAGTGTTGGCACTGGTAAAATTGTTTAGAAACTGTTAATCATTTAAAATGACCTGCAGGACTTGCATTTCTGCCTCTGTACTTCTATAACTGAGGGGGAGAGAGTTTCTGGCCTAAGACCATCCGCAGCGGTCATATCGTTTCTAAAATATATTATATTAATATAATTTAATAATTTAATTAAATATTAAATAATTAAAAAAGTAAACCAATAATAACATGCCATATAGATTTAGAGTATCTCAATGTTTTTATATACGTCTCCAAACAAGCAACAATTATATACGTTTCTAATTCTCTTTCTTCTCTTTTTACTTTTTAATTATTATTTTATTCTTAAATACTATTTTATATACTCTTTACATATCCTCGATGGAGCTGCCCTAAGTGAAGAAACATGTTTATTTTGTATGATTTAAAATAAAATAATTTTTAAAATATAATTTTTTTATTTTTAAGAAATTCATTAAGGATTCTACCAATGGAAAAGAGAAAAATTAAAATTTTCTAACAAAGTTCTTAAAATGAAATAATAAAAAATTTATATTAAAATTTTTGTTAAGAATCCCAATTGGGATTCTACCAATGGAAATGCTCTTATGACAGGATGAAAAGCACATTACTGTATATGTTCGAAGTAAATTAATCATGTAATCCAACTTTCAAAACACTTATCTTTTAAAAGTTTAAACCAATACATCTTTGTTGGAGCCACTGTCCTTCGAAATGGCCGGCTTCTCCATGAACTTAGAGATTACCGCAGCAATAGCAAAGAAGAGAGGCCACACAGATACTTTGATGGGACCGTCCTGTCCTTTTCCGATAAAAACACAATTAATGGTCGACACTATTAACTGAGCAACAACACAGAACAATAAGACCGTATCTGTGAAACTTCCGAAGATTCTTCTGTAGCCGCGTGATCGATAGTAGAACCAAGGTACAGGCTTCCACTTCCATCGGAAACCAGCATTATCGGCTCCTATTTTGTAACTGAGATCAAAGATGGAGAGGACAACAGAGAGGATTGACAGTGCTAAAGAGATTCTTGCGAAGTAAGGCTTTCGAATGGAAGACATCTGGTCTGAAACCGCTGATGCAAGCTCCAGGAGCAAATTGATGACGAGGAGGAAGTACACTCCCGTGGAACACCGACTTGTACTTTTTCGTATTGGCTTGTTGTAATCATGACAGACTCTTCGTACTTCTCTGATATCTCGATGATCGGTAATCGTTTCTAGCCTGCGTATCACTTCTTCCCACTCTTGTTCCTGCTTCCCACGTAAAGATGAACCCACCACGCGGAGAACCAATGGAAGGTTACCACATAGGTCTACAACGCTTTCTGCGAGCTCTTTAAAACCAGTAGCAGGATATCTTTGTTTAAAAGCGTGTATACATAAGATCTTGAGAGCTTCTTCACTAGAAGGAAAGTCCACATAGTATGTGTTATCGATACCATGTTGCTCCAAAAGCTCGTCATCTTCTGTTGTTACAACAATCCTGCTTCCCGGACCAAACCAGTTAGCTTCATTAGCCAGAGCCTCAAGTTGCAGCAGATCGTCCACATCATCAAGAATGATAAGCACATTTTGGTCGCATAGCCTTTCCCGTATAGCACCTAAATGCTTTATACTCATACCGTTTTGGTTCAAAATCTTTGAAAGAAGTTGCTCTTGTAGACCCAGCTTCCATCCATAGTCATCAAGACCGCTCATATATCTTCCCTTAAGATTCTCCATAAAACAAGAAAGCGGAAAACTGCTAGAGAGGCGGCTATGTAAAGCTTTGGCAATGGTGGTCTTACCAATGCCTGCAGGGCCACAGATTCCTACTATCATAGCTTCATCCTCATCATGTAAATGTAACAAAGACTGCATCTTCTCCAAGTGCGCTTCAATACCCACCATGTCTTCAAAATCCCTAGAGATAGTAGCATTTAGTTTGTTTGAGACATCTCTGGCAATATTTTCAATCATCTCCGATTCGTTGTCCCTAACAAGAGAGAAAAAGTTCACATTCAAAATGCTTGATTACCAAAAATTCTGTGTGAAACTGATTTAGAGATTCACCAAGAAAATTTCCCAAAATCGTATAAATCAATTGAATGAAAACGAACGAACCAGTTTCGGAAGTGCTCTCCGGCAATGTTGCCCACATCGTTCAAAGCTTGGCTCCATTTTCGCCTGTCTTCCTCCGTTCTGCGGCGACAAGTTCCCTTGAAGACTTTCCCGAATTCTCCGGTCTGTTTCCGAACATCAGATGGATCTACTCCGTAGAAGACCGTCATCACGATTTGCCCAATATCTTCCTGGCACTTGAGGATCTCCACCAATTCATCCAAACACCATCTTGAAGAAGCATAGTTCTCCGTGAGCACCACAATCGAGATCCTCGATTCCTCAATCGCTTTTTTGAGAGCAGGAGCGATGGTTTCACCTCTCTCGATGCCTTGATCATCGAACATCGAAATCCCATTGCTGCTAAACTGTTTGCGTAAATGACTGACAAAGGTTTTGCGGACGTCAGGTCCATGGAAACTCGTGAAGACGCTGTATCTCCGAGAAGCCATGAGATAGAGTATCGAGAAGATTTGAAGATCAAATATACAAATATATATATCTCTGGATGAGCCATATGTGGTCGAAAAAGTTTGAGAAAGCCGCGTACACTATTCACTGTTGGCTTTTTGAGACAGCGGTAGTAGCCAAGAAACTTCTTCGCTCTTTCTTGTTCAAAAAAAAAAAAAAACTTGTTCGCTCTTTCTCAAAACTTGTTCGCCCGTCTGTATGCCGTTGGAAATTTCCAACCATCTTTCAGCTGCATTCCTCTGGATTCTTCAAGTTGAGTTAGTAGGGCCTAAATGAAACCATACATGATTGAGAAAGGCGCGTTCACTATTCACCATTATTTTTTGAGGAAGAGCGAAGAAGATGTTTCTTGGCTTTTTCAGTCTCCTTCAGTAATTGGTACGTTTCGAATTTTCTAAACTGAATTTATAGTAGAGATAACCGGTCTTTTCGCATTAGAGTTCTATATCTATACGTCAAAACATCAGAATCATATAGAAAACCTCAAAGCTTATGTGGACAGCATTAAGTTAGACAAAATATAACACTTAATGATACTGTTTGGTAGGGGTGGCAAAATATTCGTTATATCCGATTCGAACCGATATTTGGTTCGATCCGATTTGAAAAATCCGAATATCCGTAAAGTTTCGGAGCAAAGCAAATAGCAAAATGTAGTATCCGTACAAAACGGAGCAAATCACAAATATGTTTATAGATAATGCCGGATATCCGATCCGATCCGTATCTTTATAAATTTATTATATATTATCATATATATATCAATTATATTATAAATTTTTATTAATATATTCTCAATTTTCTTCTTAAATTTTCAATTATTCTTTTGATTATATAAAATAAATGACTAAATAACCAATTATAAAAAAAAAAAAATATGTTTAAACTTAAAATATGTTAATAAATAATACTTTATTTTATATTAGTAAATATATATCAACAAAAAAAAATTAGTAAAGTTTAATATTAAAGTTTCAAATAGTTAATATTATTTTTAAATATAAAATATCATTTTTCCTCATCTTAATTTTGTAGGTTTATTTTTATAGATTTTTTTATAAAATAAAATATTTTCTTTTAGTTATTTTCATTTAATAGTTTAGATGAAAAATATTTTTTATGATAAAAATTGATGTACTTTCAGATTTGTATATATTAAACGGATCAAACTAAATATTCATAAATATTCATAAATATCCGTAAATATCCGTAAATAGTTGTAAATTTTCCAGATATCCAAAAATCAGGATCTCCATATATTTCCGGAGCAAATCAAATCATAAAATTAAATATCCATTAAAAATGGAGCAAACTACAAATACTTAAAAATTCTCGGATATCCAATCCGGGCTCACCCCTACTGTTTGGTTAATTAGTTTTACATGGAAGAACAAAGGACATCATGATATGCCTAGTTACACAATTTGCTACCCAAACACCATATCAGCTCAAATCCATCACAAATCTTCCTTCTGCTGTTGAGTGGTTCTGCTGAAGATGAAGTTTAAACCAATCACTGCATTTTTGTTAGAGCTAAATTGTCCATGGACATGTCCGGTTTCTCCATGAACTTGGAGATTACCATACCGATAGCAAAGACGAGAGGCCACACAGATACTTTGATGGGACCGTCATGTCCTCTTCCCATGGAAACACAATTGATGGTCGACACGATCAACTGACCAACAACACAGAACAATACGACCGTATCTGTGAAACTTCCGAAGATTCTGTTGTAGCCGCGTGATGGATGGTAGAACCAAGGTACAGGCCTCCACTTCCATCGGAAACCAGCTTCATGGGCTCGGATTTTGTTATTGAGGTCAAGGATGGAGAGGACAAGAGAGAGAACTGACAGTGCTAAAGAGATTCTTGCGAATGGAAGACATCTGGTCTGAAACCGCTGATGCAATCTCCAGGAGCAAATCGACGACGACGAGAAAGTACACTCCCGAGGAACACCGACTTTTCCTTTTGCGTGCCCACTTGTTAGACGACGATAGTTTCCTGCAAAGCTGCGTTACTTTTTTGGCAAGCTTTCCAAAACCATTATGTGGGTTGCTCTGCCTAAACGCATTTCTACACAAGATCTTGAGAGCTTCTTCATCAGATGGAACCCGACACACGATACGTATCATCAATACCATGTTGCTGCAAAAGCAGTTGATGTCTCGTGGTTACCACAATCCTGCTTCCAGGACCAAGCCACTTGGTTACATCAGGCAACACCTCGAGCTGCTCCCGAGCATCCACGTCATCAACAATGATAAGCACTTTTTGCTGGCTCATAAATACGTTGAATCTCCAGGTGCCAGTAGAAGAAGAAGAAGCCATGAGAATGGAGTAAGGAGAAAAAGTTCAGGATTGAGATTTACAAAAAACAAAATGTCTCGGGGTGAAGCCATTAATGATGAAGAAAATGGAGAAGGCGTGTTCACTATTCACCATTGATTGTTTGAGAAAGATTTGATGTGATGGTGTTTGGGCTCGAGAGAGATATGCAGCAATTAGTTCTTCCAGGGCACGACGATCGAGAACATCATGCGTGAGTGCAGGTGTAATGGTTGATCTCATTCATTATCATCATAAATTCATAATCCCATTTTCATGAAACTGTCATCGTTTCATTTCATAGAGTATCTCTGGGCATTTTGGCTTTTATTCATCAGAATCTTATAATCCTAAGTTAACACTAAGATAGAACAACACTTAGTTATGGTGTTTGTTAATTAAGTTTACATCGGAATCATATAGAAAACCTCAAAGCTTACGTGGACAGCATTAAGTTAATAATACTAAGACAAAATGATACTGTTTGGTTAATTAGGTTTACATGGAAGAACAAGAGGACATTCATCATATGCTTAGTTACACAATTAGCTACCCAAACACCATATCAGCTCAGATCCTCCACAAATCTTCCTCCAGCCCTCGGGATGAATCCTGAGTCTTCACCGCCTTCTGTTGAGTGGTTTTGCTGAAGATGAGGTGCTAATCGTCGGTCTTTTAGCACCTGAGACAAATCAAGAAAGATTAGGATGACTCATGAGAAGAAACTTGACTCTAAAGATCTTATGTCAGATTTCTCTTGTGTATGAGCAAGCAAGCATCTAAAGAGGCTTGTAATTAGAGCATGGTTTAAGTGTAATTAGGCAGACGGACTTGGTGTTTAAGACACAGGTCAAAGATTTGATTTATTGAAACATTACTTGTTAACGCCTTAGAGGAAGAGCTAGTGGCAATTGACAGACGAGAAGGTCTGGTTTGGCCTGGTGGTTTCAAGATCTGCTTCGGAATCTTCGACGGAATATTACTTCTGCTTTTAAAATTCCCAAAACAAAGCAAACGTAAGAATCTGTAAATGCATTCAGATTGTTTTACTAAGGTGTGTGAGCTAGTAGAGGATACTAACCTGTCTTTTGGCTCGATTTTCACCATTTTCGCTGTTCTCTCGGGTTTCTCAGAGGCCATGTGTGTTTCAGGTCGTT